TGGTACAATGGAAGAGAATCTTGGGGGTGATTCTGCGGTGCTACAAAATCTGGAGAAGACCACAAGTCTACCTGGCTCGCAGGGAGGCCTTGCCTCGGAATCACACAGTCAGTTGGTTCTTGTAGATTCCAGCTTGAAGCCTCCCAGCTCGGGCCTGAACAAGCCAGGCGACCGCTTGTCCTTCTCATCGTTGTACTCTTTGGGATCTGCCATCTATGGGGCAGCAGGTCTATCTAGTGCACCTCAGAGTGCTGCAAGCTCTACCGCTGGTTCAATCAAAAGTGCGGTCTCCGAACAGCCAACGCCTACGCCTATCTCCCCTTCTCTGGGGTCAGCCAAAGGAGAAGCTGTTGCTTCGGCTACGACGGCTACAGACCCTATATCAGTAAATGCCAACTCTCCGCCACAGCATCAAGGTTCGAAATCTTTGCATTCTGGCATCGATTAAGTCGAACCTCGACTGACAATTTTGCGTAGTGCCTGTCAATACTTTGAAGGAACCAGCGTCTAGTGCACCCAATGCTGCTAAGCAACATCTTGACTCTTGGAACTCAGGTCCGTTGCCAAGACCGCCCGCTCCCCGTCGATCCCGAAGTCGAACGCAACAGAGACAGCCGAGTGGTAGCACCGTCGCAAGTGGCGCCCCCAGCCCTAGTAACAGTGAGCGATGTAAGTCTGCCACGTCCCCCCCAAAGACATCACCAATGGAAAGACCTAACTCATGTCTATGACAGCCAAAGTTGAACCGATTGGACGAGTCGGCGTCTGTGCTCTCGATGTCAAGGCAAGAAGCAAGGCGAGCCGGAATATCTTAACCCGCCTACAAGGCAATGGAGAACTCGATGTCGTCATCTTCGGCGACAAAGTCATATTGGATGAAGGTAAGTGGATCAGAATAAGACACCACTGCATGTACTAATATCATGCGTTAGATGTGGAGAATTGGCCAGTCTGGTAAGCTTCGTAGTCTTCTCGCTCATGGTCCTCTCGACCAACTACACCATGCGCAAGGCATAATGTTTCAAGCTAGAGAACACGGCCAAGCTGATGACATCTTCCAGCGACTTTCTAATATCCTTCTTTTCGGACGGTTTTCCGCTAGACAAGGCTATTGCGTATCACAAGCTTCGCAAGCCATTCTCGATCAATGATCTTCCAATGCAGAAGATACTTTGGGATCGCAGAATATGTCTGCGTATTTTGGACAGCATGGGTGTACCGACTCCCAAGCGAATCGAGGTCAACAGAGATGGTGGACCAACATTAGAGTCCACTCAGCTTGCTGAGCATGTCCGTGGTTTTAGCGGTGTCAAGTTGGAAGGTCCTGATGATGGCACCGGTGGTGGCATGCCCACTACTCAAAAGGTGGAACTGATCGACGAGGGCGATACCTTACTTGTGGATGGCTTAACTTTGAAGAAGCCCTTTGTGGAGAAGCCAATCAGCGGCGAGGACCACAACATCCGCATTTACTTTGGCAAAAAACACGAAAGTGGTGGCGGTGGCAGAAAGCTATTTCGAAAGATTGGTAACAAAAGCTCGGAATGGGATAAGGACTTGATCGTTCCGCGTGCTGTTATGGAGAAGGACAGCAGCTATATCTACGAGCAGTTTTTACATGTCGACAACGCGGAAGATATTAAGGCCTATACGGTTGGACCAGAGTTCTGTCATGCTGAAACGCGAACCTCTCCCGTTGTTGATGGCCTTGTTCGTCGAAACACCCATGGAAAGGAGATTCGCTACATATGCAATCTGAGCCCAGAGGAACAACTAATGGCGAAGAAGATTGCGAACGGCTTCGGTCAACGAATCTGCGGGTTTGATATGCTCCGAGTTAGAAATCAAAGCTATGTCATTGATGTCAATGGGTGGAGCTTCGTTAAAGACAATAACGCTTATTACGATAAATGTGCGAGTATCTTGAAACAGATGTTTATAACTGAAAAACAAAAGCGTGAGGGCGTCGCGCCATTGGTGACGCCAATTCCTGAAGATAACTCTGAAAAAGGTCCGGCGGACAGGAATCAGTCGGAGACAAACTTACTCCACCGGAAAAATACTGTGGGGACACACCGTTCTGCCCTGAAAAATCTGATTAAGTCACCAAGCATGTCTAAGATGAGAGGTCTTCATCACCCTGGCCAGTCCACCCACGGTGCTACTTCTCCAGATCTCACCCCATCTACAGCGCCACTTTCGTCGCCACCTACCTTCGAACGTGGCCAGAAGCCTGTGCTACCGAACCCTCCAACGGGCAATGTTGATGCGCTTCCATCCCCAGCCGTATCGGTAGAACAGCCTCTAGTAGCACCTGTTTCGGTGTCAACTTTAGCAGAGAAAGAGCCAGCGGTAGCTGTTCCCGAGCCATCCTCGAAACATGCCTGGAAGCTAAAAGGGATGGTATCTGTGATCCGGCATGCCGATCGCACACCAAAGCAGAAATTCAAGTTCACCTTTCATACTCAGCCTTTCGTTGAGCTGCTCAGAGGCCATCAAGAGGAAGTCCTATTGAAGGGTGAAGCCGCCCTCAACAGTGTCCTAGATGCCGTTAAGGTTGCTCTGAAGCAGGGTGTAGAAGATCCTGAAAAATTGAATTTGCTGAGGACGTCGCTCGCGCGCAAAGGAGCATGGACTGGGACAAAGGTTCAGATCAAGCCCATGTTTCGTAAAAGGAAGCCTAAAGAAATCACAAGAATCCGCAGCCAGATCGAAGAGAGCGATAATCCTGCGGCTATCCTGGCTGCAGAAGGACTCACCGAGGAACCAGAAAGCGACTTAAAACCTGTGTCACGCCCACCAACGAGAAGCGACTCAATGACGGAAACGACACTTTCACGATTTTCTGCTGCGGAAAATGACTTGGTCATAGAGAAGTTGCAACTCATCGTCAAATGGGGTGGAGAGCCAACCCACTCTGCTCGCTATCAATCGCAGGACCTGGGCGAGAACATGAGGAACGACCTCCTGCTGATGAATAAGGAGTCTTTGGACGATGTACGGGTATTTACAAGCTCAGAGAGAAGAGTCAGCACCAGCGGTACGTGTGCATTAACGCCCCCCTACTCTCCCCCTGTGCTAACACTTGGATAGCGCAAATCTGGGCGGCGTCTTTCCTGAACAAAAAGGAAGTTTCTGAATCGTCAATCACTGTCCGCAAAGACCTGCTCGATGACTCGAATGCCGCCAAAGATGTCATGGACAAAGTCAAGAAGAAGCTGAAGCTCTTACTCCGAGAGGGTCACAAGGCGCCGCCACAATTTGCATGGCCTGGCAACATGCCGGAGCCGTCTGTTGTCGTACGCAAGGTTGCAGAACTCATGGTGTTCCATCGAAAAGTGATGCGATACAATTTCAAAAAGCTCAATGGCGGTGCGGCCGCGTCATTAAGTGCCTTGACCAAAGTTGGAGAAGCCAGCGCACCCATACCCATCCCAGGATCTGGTGGATCTCTCGCTCAGGCTCAAGCAGTGGCAGGCATACAATCCAGATGGTGCTGCGGAGAAGATCCGGAGCTCTTCAAAGAGCGATGGGAGAAGCTGTTCTCTGAATTCTGCGACTCTGAAAAGGTCGATCCCAGCAAGATTTCCGAGCTCTATGATACTATGAAATTTGACGCCTTGCACAACCGGCAGTTTTTAGAGTGGGTTTTCACGCCTGATGCAAGTATGCCTGATGAAGAAACCACAAAAGGACCGAGATTGCCCACGGAAGCTACTTCGGAACCTCCAACCTCCAAAAGCTCTCACAACATCCTTAAGCATAAGCGGAAAGGTAGCGGAGGCGAGAAGATGGTCGACGCACCCGCCGACAAGCCCCCCAATCCCAATCTAGCGCATCGCATGGGCCTACGCCGAAGGTCCGTTATGAATCCTCCGTCACCACAGCCTGAAATAGCGGATGAATCTGGAGAGTCTTACTTCAAGCTATACAAAGGTACCGGTCAAAGCAAAGCGAAATGGGATGCTCGACTCGAGAATCTGCGAGAGCTCTATAAACTAGCTAAGGTGCTCTTTGACTTTGTGTGTCCCCAAGAGTACGGTATCAGTGATGAGGAGAAGCTGGAGATCGGTCTCTTGACGTCTCTGCCCTTATTGAAAGAAATCGTCAACGACCTGGAAGAAGTGCAAGCTTCGGAAGAGGCCAAATCATTTGTCTACTTCACTAAAGAGTCACATATCTACACTCTTGTCAATTGCATCCTCGAAGGTGGAATCAAGACGAAGATCGAGAGAAATGCAATTCCAGAATTGGATTACCTTTCCCACATAACTTTCGAACTGTACGAGTCCGAGGACAAAGACGCAGATACTTTTACCTACAGCATCCGTATCACGATTACTCCTGGTTGTCATACCTTCGATCCACTAGACGTTCAGCTCGATTCGAAGCATTCGATTGGCTGCGCGCCAAGGCGAAGCCTGACCACGCATATGGATTGGAAGGAGGTCATTGAGACGTTGCGAGCGAGATTCCACACGTATGACGCTCAGGTCCCCCAAGACCCAGTTCCATGCTAATTGTTCTTTTGCAGGGTGAAACTACCGAAGAGCTTCCTTGCCGTCAATGTCAGCGACAGCCATTCTAGTGATGCGAGCAGAATCGATACCGATACCGACGAGCAAGCCAGTAATGCCTGAATATACTGTACGAATTATGGGCTTTAATCTTCATTGTACATACTATACCCTCGACAGTATTGCATAGAGATTAAGCCGAATTCGGCACGCGCAAGCGTACATCTATCCTAGCCAAGTGCTCTATTGTCACTCGAACCAAGTGAAGAACCTGACTCTATGGCCTGGATATGGGTATAGAACACCATTGTAGCAATTCCCAATATTTCTCGTGATGTAGTTTCACTGTCACTTGTCCCCACCTCCCGTCATAGCCAGTACAGCTACTCCAAGCAGCACCCACCAGTACCTGTCACACATCTGTGTCAGCATCCAACCCCCGCGGTAAAACCGACATCGCAGATAAAGAACAAATGAAAGCACTCACTTCTGCAACAACGTCTTCTCCACCACCTCCTCCTCCTCACCCTCTTTCCCCCCCACCCCCGCCCCTGCACCCGCAGCAGTAGCTCCCCCCTTCCCCTTCGCCGGTTTATCAAACACCACCCTCGGCGCCGGCTTCGTAGTCAGGACATCGAAATCCCCCCTCGCATTCCCCCCACTCTCGCCCTTCCCCTTCCCCTTCCCCGCCGCCGGCGCGCTCTTCGACAAACAAGAATGCCAACTCGCCCCCACGGCCTCCCCCTTCGAATCGAGCACCAGCCTAAAGCGCCCTCGATACGGCGCGTGGAAACCGTACGTCGCCGTGACGCTGCTTCTGTACCTCTCCCCTCCGACGTGGCCGTCGAGGTACAGGAGCACGCTGGTGAGGGCGTCGGGGTCCGAGGTGTTTGCGGGCGGCGTGAATGATTCGAGGGTCGAGAGGTGCGGGTGGTGAGGTGAGTAGGTGAGGATGGCTAGGGGGTGGGGTTTGGAGGGGGTCGGGGCGACGGGGAGGGCGTGGAGGGTTGCGGTGTGGAGAGGTGGGGAGAGGGATGTGGTGGTGGTGGTGGTGGCGGCGAGGGTGGTGGTGGGGAGTGCGAGGAGGGAGAGGAGGAAGGCGGGTAGGAAATGCATCGTTGGTGGGTTGGAAGGGAGGTGGAGGGATAGATATGGAGGAGAGGGTGTTCGAATATGTCGGTTTGTGCGTATGGTCAACCGTTTGTCTGCTTAGCGCGCTCTCGGCGTTTACGGGTAGACAAACCTCCTCCTCACCATCCTCAGAAGCTACTACATCCTGTCTCCATTCTGGCAACTGTGTATGCATCCGATCTTCCAGACCTGTCCAGGAGTACATGGCGCGAGATCAATTGGTTCGCTAGGGCCGAAGACGAGTAATGCAATGCGAATTGCAAGACAGACAAGCGATTGAGTGACGAGAGTCTTGTAATCTACCTTGTGGATTCAGGCGACAGCTCATGAGATAAGAACGTGGTGCTCTTGGAGACGTTCATTAGGGTAACTTTCAACGTGGCTGTCACAGGCGTCTATTTATCTCTCAATGATCACTCGGTCATTATCAGCTTTCCATACAGCTGGCACATGAGTCTTCGCTGTGCTTTCTCGAGCCATTCACCATCCTTCGTGAACAGCGATAAGGGTACATTCCTGTTATTGCCTTCGAGCAGAAATGTTCTCTTGCAGGTTCAGCTCTTGCAGGCTCAAAGAGAACTCGGGTTATCATGATGCGGTGAAGGATGCGGTGAAGCGCTATGCCAACTCGAATTTTCTACCCTCGTGGCTGTTGAACCCACTACCGAGAGTGCAAGGAGAATTGATAATTTTGAAGAAGCTAAGGGAGACGCTAATGGTCATGTTGATGTATTGTGATGGGATAGGATTGAGGATGCTTGACAGATCTTCGCTACCGGCTAATCGACACGTCCAAGTTGTGAGCGCTCATTTATCAGTGTCTGTGTGCTAGCCACCTGTCTCGTCTTCAAATAAGGCTACCTCCCTCTCACTTTGACGGACGAAGCCTTGCTTAGCATGTAAATAGTAAGAGGATAGGCCTCGAAGGGAGGACTGTTGAGTATAAGGGTCGACAAGATGGCCGGTTCTTGCATAGCTGACCACGATAGAGAAAGATTGGTCAACCTGAAGCGTACATTATAACACCACCACGCTCGATCGTGACAATGGCCTTGCCTACGGGTCGATCAGGCCAGCTGCACAAATTGAACAACATTTGGATTCCCCCTATCATCGAAAAGCTCTCCTAGCCCCACACTTACTCCAAACCAAGAGAGCCCCATGGTTTTGTGGGAGACGCAGTAAGAGATCTGTCACGGCCATTACGTCCACAGAACCGTCCTACATGACTGGTATCAAGTAAGCATCACACGCAGAATAGTGCCCTTCAGTCAAATAGAAGAGACTGCTGTTGAGGGGAAATATCTGACATTTCTAAAAGGCAGACAACTTTACCATGTCTGTCGTTATTTGATAAAAATTTCTAGGCATGACCGTCACGAAATGTCATGTTGTGAAATCGATTCTGGCGCACAACTTGGGCCCGAGCCCGACAATATGCAGAGATTTAAGCCGTCTACTATTTGGCTCTCATAGGTGTGACTGTAACAACGGCTGCACTAAATGAGGATTTTGTCGTCTCAGTATCCATCCAAAATACACTATCTATTCCAAATATCCATACATTATCCAGGACTATCATCATCTCCTTTTTCCCATTCCAGTGTTTTCATCCCTAAAAAGTTCGCTTTTCCAAACCTCTGTGTCCAAAACAATCGCTCACTCCCTCAACATCTTCCTCACATCAACACCCCTCCTCTTATCCAATCCACCTACCGGCAGCGTCTGGTTCTGACTCCCAATGATCGCCCACTCGGCCACAGTCGCGCCTGTTGCGTTAGTGGCATTGTTCGCTTGGCTGCCCTGAATCATCAGTGTCGCGTAGCTCCCACTATATACCGCCGGACTCAGCGTCACGTTCGTCGTATTGCTCAAGTATGGCGTGATGAGATTGATCTGCGTCGCATTGTATGGCATGCTGACTGGGACGCTAGATTGACTCGTCGCAGTCACGGCTGAGGCATTCACAGTGGAGTCGTTGTGGAAGACTACTGAGAAATTTGTGGGAGGATTCTGGGCCCAATCGAAGAAGAAACCGGTCACCGGTTGGAAGGCTTGGGTAGCTAGACTGACAGTGATCGATTGGCTAGTATTAGAAAGGTTAGGTTGCCATTTTGTGGAGGCAGCGCCATCGACTGCTGAGATGGGAAATTGGCCGGGCTGGTAGTCGTCCGGAGATGTGACGGGAAGACATTGAGCGATGTTTCCGGCAACGGCTGTGATGTTGGCAATGTTCCTGTTCTGGAGGGTGATGGTGCCGTTGGGTAGGAGTTGGTAGGTGGTTGAGTTGCTATTGCCAATTTGCACAGGTATTGAAGTATTGGCAAACGTCTGGTTCGCGGTCATGAAGGGCTCGCTCAGTCGGGTTACTGTCGTGTGTGTCTGGTTCGCGACGGCAGATATAGGCCAACCTTGCCAGTAGAATGTCCGATACTTGAGATTTGGAATCTGAGGCGGTAGCGATGGGTCGACGTGGAGAGTGAAGTCTGGAGTGAGACGCAGGCCTAGGTAGCCAAAGACAGTGACTTGATTCGCGCCTCCATGTCCGGTCAGGAATGGATAGGCTGGATGGGTGCCGCCATTCAAGGTGTAGTCATCAATGAGCTGTTCGGAGAGTTGGAACCAAGGAGCTCGAGCATACGGCTGCTCAGAGTACTGCTGGTATGTGTACGAGGAACATCCGGCCTGATCGACCGCACTAGCGACGATGCTGAAGATTGCATATGTCATGCCCGGTCCATCCAAGGACTGCTTGCCAGCGTAGAACTCAAGGTCGTTCAAAGAGTCTTGCGCAGTATAATTGTTCTGGTAGTTTAGAGGAAATGTGTCCAAAACCACATCTGCCTGCTTGACCGCAATACTTCCATTCATCCCTGTATACTCGTCGATGATGCCCGCTCCGGAGTCTCGTGAGATGAAGATGTTTGCTGCAATGTCCTCGAACGTTGCATTGGCGCTCATCCCAAACATCTGGCGGAACATATTTGCATTGGTCAGTGTGTCCGCGATCAAAGGCATGGTGAAGCCTCCATTGTCGACACCGTTTGCGTACTCATCGGGGTCGGTCATGTTCGTCAGAACATAAGACGAGCCGTTTTTAGTGACGACTTCGGAGTAGAAGGTGGCTATTGAGTTATAGATAGGAAACAGCGAAGAGTTGAAGAATTCGGTGTCGCCCGAAGCGACCCAGTAATTGGCGAACTCCTGGGCAATGTCACCGTTGATGTGGTACTCGTAGTCTATGATGTGATCAGCGCCCATCATGCCTTGAAAGTCTTGGAGAAGTCACTACCAAAGCAAGGCCCAGTCCCTGTACAATTCCCATACCGTCCACTTGTCCAAGAGAAGACTGCAGCATCACTTGAAAAGCTTGTGGTATTCTTTGATGACTGATACGCTGTCTGTGCATTGGCCATTGCCTGCCCGTATCTCTCAACACGATAATTAGCAATCTGCTTGACTGCTTGAGGATGCGAAACCGCGAGACCCGGTTGCATCCAGATTTCAGCATCCCAGAAGACGAGGCCTGCATATGAATCCGAAGTCAAGCCTCCAACGCTGATACTCCAAGTATCAATTGGCGCGTTACTAGCATTTGACAGGGCATTTGCGCTTATTGTGTTTTGTAACAGATAGTAGTTGTTGAGCACAGCAGTGATAGCGGACTCAATGATATATGTATCGTTTGGCAGGGTACCGTTCTCAGGGAAGGCGTAGTTGTCGACAGAGTCTGGTGTGAGCACAATAGCCCATTCTCCCATATGAGTGGCTAAAGACTTGTTGAAACCTGTCTCCATAGCTTGCATGCAGGCACCTTGAGCGGTCCTCTGGGGATCCAGAAACCCATCTGAGGTCGCTCCACCAACATACTTCGTTACGGTCGTTGTTTGACCTGCTTTCAGAGCAGCATTTGCTGCCTGCGCGATGCTCGACTGGTTGACTCCGATGTAAAGCTTGTCGGTCACTATTGCTAGTGAAGCAGCGTCAACTTCAGCTGAGCCTTCCATAGTAGCGTACATATATGCGGTCACGTTGGGAACATTGTATGGCGTCACCGCAGAGTATATCTGCGTTCCCTCCATGCCACTGCTGGTGAAGTTTGTGCGAACGGCGCTTGTCCCGTCGAGAACATTGACGATGGAAACGTTTGTATCTGCTGAGGGCTGAATTTCCAGTTGCACAAATCCCTGGTTGACGTACAGCTTATGAGCGAACATGGTGTAGGTTATGTTCAATGACAAGCCGCTCGAGTTGGCGGGATTCCAGGTATACGACCATGTCGAAACACCTTCCTTCGCATTGAGTGTGGAGCTGAAGTTGGAGACGGTGCTGTTGTCCACAGTCGCATCGAGGTATACGCCCGCACCAAGATCCACAACTATACCTGCCCAATGAGGCACTCCGCTGATGACGCTTTCTCCTCCATATTGATTGAGCCATTCGAAGTTGGTCCCATTCGTGGTAGGCTGCTCATCGAAGAAGCCGGCGATGGTAGCGAAAGTCTGTCTTTCGCTGAAGAGAGGCCATCCGTTGATGTTGTCCCCAGCTACTGGCACGTCGATTTCGAAGAAGGGGCCGGCTGCTGCGACATTGATGCCCAAGTAGCCATTAGCAATGCTCATTCGTGACTGGTAATGGCCTTGGTCTAGATTAGTAGTGCGGACTTGCCATTCGGCATTGTCCCAGGTCACGTTTGCGAAGCGCGTATTATATATGGAGCTCGTGGTTGAGTCTATATTCGTTGATTGTCGTGCAGTGATGCTTGCCGCATCGCTGTTAAAACCAAAAAGAGAGAAAGCAAGCGCAGAAATGAAGTAAGAGCGCAGGCAGTGCATGATGTCGATTGATGGTTCAGAAAGATTAGATGGATGTGAATAGTCACAACGATTCAATGGCAAAGCACTTGAGAAGGATGCGCTGACAGAGCATGTCTGTACATTGTGCGGAGTGCGAAAAATTATATAAAGCAGACGTTGTACGGCCTGACTCCAAGAAACGGTCGGCATGACGCCGGTCAAACGCAAGCTCCAGAGCTCTTTCCAAGCTTAGACCTGCAGCTTGACATCGTCGCCGCCCTGAAAGGGCAGGTGAGAGGACTTAGACGCGTGAAGCACGCGAAAATGCGGGAAAATTCCCCGCCATCTTGTGAGGGGAAGCTCGAGGCTGAAAATTGTCTTGGAGCTAATTAGGCTTAAAAAGGCCATTGTTAGCGAAACCAATAGAATTTGGCCTTCTGGCTCGTTAGCGATTCCTCAAGGCTTCATGACTGAGAGGGGTCGGACCAACGCCTGAATCGCTCTTGGTTGCTATTGCACCAACGGCACAGGCAAAGGAAGCCGGCAGGTTGGGAGGTTGGGAGGCTGGGAGACTGGGAGGCTGGGAGGGCATATCCGCGCAGTGTCCGTTGACTAGGTAGGCAGTCGTGTCTTTACCAAAAGTCTTCTTTCAGCGTTCCGCAGGCCTGAATTAGTCGTCTTCCTGTTCTTCGGCCTCATCCACTTCCTCATCCTCCTCCAGAGCCACAGGCGATGCCCTTCTGGCCACGGCTCCGCTACCGCTCCTCCTCTTCGCAGGCTTGTGCTGCGTCGACATAGCCGCTCTCTCACCAACGAAGTCACTACCCGTCCAGTCTGTTCGGCATAGAGGGCACTTCTTTGAGCTCTGAGTTCGGAAAAAGTTCTGTACACATATATCGTGCAAACGGCATGGACAGCTCTTCTTCGGACATCGTTGACCCTTGGTTGAAAGTCAATAGAAGAAACCACATGCGATTGGGGCTGTCCTGCTTACCGTCGTGATGATCTCCTTGCACGCGAAACACTGCTTGATCTTCTTCGACGCCCGTTCCTCGTCCCCCTCATCTTCATCAAGATCATTATATGTCTCCCAAAGCCACCCTCTCAATTCCATCAATGCTCTCGGACTGAGACTGTAGAAGCCTTTGATACTCTTCTCGAGCCATCCCTCCTCAACCAAGGTCTTCATCATCTTCTCCGCCTGGCCCATCGTAAGGCTCTGTCCTGCACTTCCTTGGGTTGCAGATCCATTCTGCGTCTGTGGTCCATCTTCTGTGAGAGTTTTATGCAACTTGATCGCTTGCATGGATGTGATAGCCATGACTTCATGACGTGGCGTGTTGTACGTCTCGAACATTGCGTCGAGGACCCGTTTTAGGAAGCTGATTTCGTCGGGTGTATGTATGGTCGCTAGTTGAGTGATGGGATCACTGGTTGAATTTACGAGAGCGTAGATGCGAGATCGGGTGGTTTGGTGATAGGTGCTGCGGATCTCAAGGTCGAAGGGGGAGATGGCATTGTTGGCGGCGGAGATGTAGGAATTGAAGTCGGCTTGGGTGACATCTTCGGGGAAAGTCTCTCGTTTCTCTTTCAACAGTCAGTAAGGAGTTCGTTTCGGTTCTCGCCTTGGAGAGTCCTAAAGACTCACCGTGGGCTGTGAAAATGGCCGCTAATAATGGTTTGGCTTCGTCAAAGGTAAGGGTCGAACGAGCTATGAAAGCTTGTAAGAAAGCACGATTGCTGTTGTTGTATTGACTATCCGCATTGTCTGCCATATTGAATCTGGCAAGGTCACTTCAACTTATGCTGGATGGAAAAGGCGAAAAGCAGTACTTGAGTGACACAAATTGATGACTTTGTCGGGTAGACGCGTCGCGTGGGTAGCGTCAAATGCTTGGCGCTCCATAGTTCCCATGTCTGACTTCTTTTCTTCATCAATTACACAATGTGCAATGTTGTTCATTCAAGATGTTACCTGCTAAGCTACAATTTGCAGACTCGTTTCAGAAATAGTATTATTTTGAGAACTACTGAATACAACAGGATTCAGATCATAACTCCTGATCTTCAAGCTCAAGAAACAACGCAACAGCCCATTCCTTTGCTTTGGCTTTGCCGCTGTCTGAGCCTCTAAACATACATGTCGAGGTCTGTATCTTACTCGGAATTGATCTCGACCTTGGTTTTGTCTAGGAAACCGTCAGCATACTCTCTTTCTCGAAGCCTCATTCTACCTACAAAAGGCAACGTGGTCCTTGATTGGAGCAGCTTTGTCGGTGATGGTCTCTGGATAGTACCAGGCGGCGTCTTTTGCTTCCTTTCCTATGGGTTCTCTGTGTCAGCTTTTGATCTTGCACTCGAATGGTTGTCTATGCATACCATCGACGGTGATGTTGTAATATGAAGCTATGCCTTTCCAAGGACACTTGGTAGTCAGCTTAGCCTTGCTGAGGACCGACTGGTCTACAGAGCTGGGTGGAAACTAATATCGTCAGCACTGAAGTCTACCAAGGAACGGTGTCATTTTACGTATATGTTCCCTTCGACATATTCCCAGTTATCGGTTTCCGCAATAACTTTGCCATTGAAGGTGGCGGTGGCGTGAGGCATTTTGAGTGTTTCTTGGTATCTTTGCCCTTGTGTTCTTGCTTTCGGTGTGATATTCCAACGTATCTGACAGGGACGTCGGTGGGACACGTTAGGTCTTTATGTTATTGGTCCCCCCTGCTTCTTTGTTGCTGCTCCCTGCGTACGTCAAAGGTTGCCTAATCTTTAGAGATGCGGATTTGTCATATGACATGTGACGTCAGGTCAGACCTACTCGATCATTGGACAGTCATATGTGGCCAAATAACCGCACTGCAAAGGGTCGGTAGCAAGGTAAAACGTGAGAAACGATAGAATTCCGAGGTGTTTAGGGCTGACAGCGAGTAGCACTAGTGATACCTTACTGAATTAAGTATAGATAACGCCGAGCCTCTACTTTATCTAGGTACTTTCCAACCTACGCCTGCCTCTATTAGCTTATGATGAGTGATCAAGATGGAGGGAGCCGGCGGCCAAATTGGGTTCCAGCTACAGTGACTGGGCACCGATTGTCATACGTTCCTAAATCAATGGAAGTCCAGGGGCCTCAGATGGATATCCGATCATGGCCGGGCGGCCAGGTTGTTTTTTGATACTTACACGTGATCGGGAGCACTTCGTACCTTAGGTATGGATCAGGTATCCCCCGCAAGTCATGTGCTTCTACCGCTGCACGGCTTTAACAGAAGCCTCCCTTTATCCCCGAAAGCGGGTGCGACGAACCACAGTGACGTCTCATGAGTATTTATCCAAAGCCTATTGTATCGCAGAAGTAAGGGCGCCTCTATTGGAAGTCCTATACATAGCTCTCGAACTTTTTCGAATTCGAATTCTCACTGGGCCGGCATGAATTCTGAAGAGTTCCGCAAAGCAGCGCACTCAGCAGTAGACGAGAGTAAGCTCCTGCTAACTTCCGACTTCCCAAGCACAAGTCCTATTAGCTCATCCCATCCCAGTCATTGACTATTTCGACACTATTCAAGACCGCCGTGTTGTCTCCAACGTTGAACCAGGCTATCTACGCAAGTTGTTGCCCCCGGCTCCGCCAGTCGAAGGAGAAAAATGGGAGGACATACAGAAGGACATCGAAGCGAAGATCATGCCCGGTCTGACCCATTGGTACATTATGCTCTCTACCATAGGCCACCGAACACGCGAATGCTCAAGCTGAGCGTGACCAAGGCAATCCCCTAACTTCATGGCCTTCTACCCTGCAAACACAACCTATCCTTCGATGCTCGGCGAACTCTACTCTGCAGCATTCACGGCGCCAGCTTTCAATTGGCTATGCTCACCTGCGGTCACCGAGCTTGAGACGATAGTCCTCGACTGGCTAGCGCACATACTGCACCTCCCAGACTGCTTCCTGAGCGAAGGAAAAGGTGGAGGGGTGATACAAGGAAGTGCAAGCGAAGCAATTGTCACGGTCATGGTTGCCGCGAGGGAAAGGTACCTGAATCAAGCTTGTGAAGGACTTGAGGGGATCGAGAGAGAAGAGAAAATGAACTGTACTCGAGGACGCCTGATCGCTCTTGGTAGCGAGCAAAGCCATAGCAGCACAGCAAAAGCAGCCTTGATCGCTGGCGTCCGCTACAAGTCTATTCCAACGCGGATGGAAGACGGCCTTGCTTTGACGGGGGATGGTTTACGCATGGCGTTAGATGAGTACGCATGCGACGGTCTCGAGCCCTTTTACCTGACGACCACTCTTGGCACCACAGGAACCTGCGCCACGGATCAGTTCTATGAGATCGCGGAGACTCTGAGAAAAGCCCACGTGTCCACAAGGATCTGGGTCCACGTAGACGCGGTTTATGCCGGCGCAGCTCTCGTTCTTGACGAATACCAGCATATAGCGGACCAGTTTGCCGCCTTCGACAGCTTCAACATAAACATGCACAAATGGCTCCTCACGAATTTTGATGCCAGCTGCCTCTACGTCCGTACCCGCGCCCATCTGACATCTGCCCTTAGCATCACTCCCTCTTATCTCCGCAATCCTTTCTCAGACTCCGGCCTCGTGACCGACTATCGTGATTGGCAGATCCCACTGGGCCGTCGTTTCCGTGCATTGAAGATCTGGTTTGTTCTCCGTTCATATGGAGTTAACGGGCTCAAGGCGCACATTCGGAAGCATATCGTCATGGGCGAGAAATTTGCCGCGTGGGTTAGAGAAAGGGATGATCTGTGGGAAATTGTGACGCCACCGGCTTTTGCGCTCACCGTGATTACAATTGCTCTGCCAGCTCGGTCAAAGGGCACACTGCCCGATGGCATGACAGAGCCGAGGGTGACGGATGGGGTGGCAAGTTCCAACACTCTCCCTTCCACAGGTGAAGAAAATCGAGATCAGACGAATGCGTTGACGAAGAAGATTTATGAAAGCATCAACGCCGCCGGCGAGATATTCTTGACCAGTAGTGTTGTTAAGGGCATTTACTCCATCAGGATTGTAAGTGCGAATGAGAAGGCTGACGAGGCGCATCTGAGACGCGCATTTGAGATCCTTGTAGACACTGCTGAGATGGTCATATCAGAGAGCAAAGCTGAGATATAGAGAGGTACTCTGTGGTATAAAGTTTAAATCCCGACTGGTGCGAGAAGTACAGGAGTAAAAGAAAGAATACTCATAAGTCCCGAAGTCTTGCTCAATGACCTATGTTTCCATGAACTGTGACTCATAAATTTTTAAGCTACGCTCCGTCGAATGGCCCTTGAGGCTGGAAAGTCCTTACGCATCGGCGCTGATCTCTAGGCATTCCCAATCATTCGCCAGCAGAAGCCATGTCCAGCTCGATTGACATCTACACGGTGCAATTCAGACACGGAGAACCGTTCACAGGGAACCTGCGCGCATTCGAGATTCTGGAGACCTTGAAGCTTGAGACAGCGATGACATTCGAAGAGGTCGACGGCGCCGACGACAGTACCCCTGATGAAGATGTTGGGTACTCACAGGTTGGACTCCCGAGAAAAAACTCACGGGGAGCGGGCCGGCGGACGTGTCGCTTTGGTGGAACCCGAGCGTCTCGCTGGTGTTCTGCCAGCTTTTGCGAAGACGTTGAGGCTTGTAGGAGGCTTGTCGGATGGAGAAGCTGTTGCAATGCTGGGAGATTTGGTGGGATGGAAGGATGAGCATGTTCGAAGATTCATAGGATATTCTTCGGGGGTGTTGATTCTTGTTCGACAAGACAATCATGGGGTATAGGCTAACACGTAGCGATAAGTTTCTAAAATAGCTAGGGTGGACCGACAGACCTGTTGTGGCAAGTAGAGATCGTTATTCGAGATGGACAGCTGAGGTATCATGAGATCGTATAAGCATCTTGCCACTGTCGAGACAATATCCTCTTCTGCCTCGGCCGCCGTTGAGGTGCCACGTGGGGCATGAATCTCCGATAGAGTTGTTCCTCACGACGAGAAATTGGAGATGAATACCACTAATACCACACGTTATCTTTGAAACCTTCATGTCAGCCAGAAGACGACGGTATACATAGTCGACCGAGCGAACGCATAACGAGGTAAGCATACCAATCTGTTCCAAGAAACTCGTTGCCTTATTGTATAGAGGCTTCTGATCTAGCATCCAAGTTGCAAAGACTTTGGATGTGCGTGGACGTGGTGCAGGCAAAGATACAAACCACCGCATTCTGACAATAAGATCATCTAGGAAGCAGCGTTAGAGCCTTTATGAGGTCCACGGATACACAAATCGTACGTTATTCTCTGCTTTTCACCTCTATTTTTTTCCGTCAATGACTTCCGCGAATACGGCAGGGTACGACATTCGTCTGTTCCTCTTGGCTTCAAAGCGAGTGGGCAGCTCTTCGCATCCTTGCGGTCCATATCCAGGATTTTGCGTTCCAATTCGGCCAGTTCATCTTGACGATACAGAAGTAGTCTAGCATGTACATTGCCAAATTTTCAATTGATAAGATTATCTCCGTCGCTGTTCAAGAACACCGCTACTTGGGGGAAGCCTGCTTCATGGTGTTCGATTAGAAGATGTTAGCCAATCCAATACACAATCGGATGGAAATGTCGCACTCCGCTGGAGTAGCTTGCCCCTCATTCGGGTTTCTGGTTGCTTGTAGATACCAATCTCCACACGAAATCGATAAAGCTTCGGGGAACTGCTACATAAGCAGGGTCTACGCCCAGTAAAATTAAGAACACAGAGATATCGAACAAGAGATGGGTATTTACTGACAGGCTTCAGTGACGGTTATGCTGGCACCTGTCATATCCCTGCTCGCTACAGGGTCAATGGGAATCACGCTGTCACCTCTTCTGGGCTCATCTTTTGGAAGGAAAAAAGAGCGATTCGGCGGTATCCAGGTTGGTTCATGAGGCAACTCTATGAAAAGCTTGTTTGATAGCGAAGAATAAACTCATCAAAAGGCAGATATTAGTGAAAGCAGCTGGAGTCCCGGCTGCCTCAGAATTGCCGATGGAAGACTCGACAAAGCAATACGGAGGGAGTATTGTACTGAGCAGACGCCCGATCCACCTGGTCGAAATGTATTGGCGCCACAACGGATACCTACAGGAAGTCAACCGATTACACGAACCTTGCAACACCTCCAGAGCAGGTTTTCGAGCTGCACAGCCCATACTTCTCCCAATGTCAATTACGAAATGGGACCGCCTGACGACCGTGTGTTTTCTTCTTCAGCTTTTTACTCTCTGCAAATGCCTCGCCGTGTAAATGACAATGACAACGTGGAGAACAACCCTGAAGATTGGAATCAGATTCTATTATCGTCCAGAAAATATTTCAGGTTGCACGTGGATATCGAGCCTCGCGTTGCGTTTGCAAGCGTTGTAGTTGACGGGACGTAGCTACATTAAGTCGGTCTCACGAAGCAGAGATTGTGGTCAGATGCTCGAGGTATGAGGCGAATCACCCGTTTCTGAACTACTCAAACGAGCATCACCAAGTTTTAGCAAATGGGACTGGTTGAAATTGGACCGGCGGAAACTAGTATAGCTATTGTTTCTGCCTCAAACTTGACTCATTGGCAGAGGCTGCTCTTATGTAGGGCAAGGGCCTTCTAACTATGGTGGCACAAGGATAAGAAAAGCTTTGGGAAAAGTGAATGTAGAAATCTGCAGCATCACTACAACGAACTGAATAAGTCGAGTTTCAGTCACGATGTATCTTTACTGATCTTGATTTACTAGACTTCAAACCTACAGTACGGAGGTCGGCATCAAAAGTCTTAGACAGCGCTAAAATACTTAGTACTCTTAATATTCTTAGCACTTCTATATAGTTACATTTATTTAACGATAATACTTTATATAATTACGTATATACTTATTAGCTCGCTCGACGAAGTTATATAATTATATATTATCTCTCTTATAATCTTCTCTATACTTATTATTATTTTTAAGATATATTATCTTCGTAATATATCTCGATATTCGCTTTATTTATTTCTAAATTCTCTTTTAAATAAGCTCGTAATTTTAATAATATAGTTATTATCTTTCGACTTTCTTATAAATTCTTAATATATCTTTTTAAATAGTATAATATTTTATTTATAGTTAATAAGACTTAATTATATTAAGATTCGAAGAGTTATTATATTAGATTATTCTAATAATATTAAATAATATAAATATCGCTTCTTAATACTTTAATATATATATTAAAACTTTATCTTCTATAATTATTATATTAAATCTTTCTTATTTATACTTCTAAGCGAACTTTAAAAGTTTTAAAATAAGAATCTATATCTAATAAGAAGAAGAAATATAAGAAATATAAGAATATATATCTTTTTCTAATAGCGATATTAATTAATTTCTCTCTTCTTTCTCTTAATAGTAACTTTTCTAATCTTAGTAATAAAGTTTTATATAGACTTCTTATTAGAAGGATTTCGAAAGTTTATACATCTTATATTAATCTTAAATTCTTAAATTTATTTAGCGTTAAGTTTTAGAATAATATTAATTTTAATAAAATTTTTAATATACTTCTTCTTTTTAATAGTAATCTCGACTTTTTAGATATAATAAAAACTCTTTTTATTATAAAAAAAATATTCTTAGAATATAAACTTTATAGTATCTACGAAACGACGTCGTATATTAGATTTAATAAAGATCTCATTAGATTAACGCTATATACGCACTCTTCTCCGCCGAGAATTTAAGATTATACTAATTTTATTACTTTAAATTACTCTTTTCTAGTCTTTTATAATTTAATTCTTATATTATAAAGCGAATTAATAATATACTTTTATTATAACTTTTATAAGAGATAATTTTTTAATAATTTTATAGACTCGAAAATTATTATGTCTAAGTACTTATAATATTATTATAAATAAGATTTCTTATTTAATAATAAGTATAAAAGAAGTCTTTTCATGGCCATAGCGGTTTTTTTATATAGTATCTAGAATTATACTCTTAAGTGTAGATATAATAATTAGAGAATATTTAGATCTAGACTTATTTATAATATATAATATTACGAGCTTTTTAGATATAGTGAAATTATATTCTCTATTATAAGCTTATTTCTAAAGTTAATTAATAGTTTAATAAGATATTTTAATAATTATAGTAATAATTTTAATAGTAATCTTAGTCTTAATTAAAGTAAATACTTAAATTCGAGTTTTATTATTATAATTAATACTCTAAATATTAGATATATTAATAAAAGATAATTAAGATAGAGAATAGTAAGAAGATTTCTATCTATTATACTATATAAATAAGACTTATATATTAAAAGTCTTTATACTCTTCTTCTATTTCTCTACGCTATAATTAATACTTTAATATTATCGCTATTATATACTCTATTAATATCGCTATTATATATATACTTCGTATATATATACTTCGTATATATATATAGCGTCGCTATTATATAGAGTATTAGTACTTATTAAAATAAAGAATAATAATACTATTTATAAAATTTGAAAGTATATTAAGCACTCAGCCCTACCTAGACCCTTATCTTGATATATCTAAGACTTTTAGTGCCGACCTCCATACAGAGGTCTGCACCGAAAGTCCTATACCCGCTAAGACTCTTACGCTCAGACTTCGGATAACACCTCACCTAAAGGATTATCTGGATAATACGTCTAAAGTTCTTCGGAATCGCATCTAGCCCTAGCCAGGTTTCGGGGCTTAATGCCTCTATCAAGTCAAGAGAAGTACCTAAAGTCCCATCCATGCGCTGTGAGAAGATATTTCTAGGCTTCCCCTCTACAGGGCCGCTTTCCGAAAGTAGGGTTAGGGCTGCACTAGTGCGGGTGCAGGACTTTCGGTGCAGACCTCTGTACCTTAGCCCTCATTGCTGTCCAATGTCCAGCCCTATTTTTCGGATGGCTCGGCAAGTCCCAACGAATTGAGATACCAAGATACCTCAATACCAAGTCTTGGCATGAAACTAGCTGTATTTAACTGATAAGCTTATCCCGCTCCGCGATATCGGCAAATCAATTGCTCATTAATCGAGAATTATGTTCTGCGGATATATGTATTCCAAATTGCGTAGAGTACCAAGTAAATTTCAACTCAACCGTCCACCAAGCGAAATATTGAATCTACCAATCGCTCGCCTTGATCGTCATGGTGTAACAACACGTCTAGAAACAGCGAGCTGGAGGCGCTGTCATCATCCTCAAAATGCGCCTCGTAGTTGGGAAGACGCTTCTGCACCATAAATTACTTACCACTACCTCCACCCTCTCATCCCGGACTGCTTGCTCAGGATGTCTGAAAGCTGCAATACTTGCCGGTCGGGCATCAACAAGACCTTTCTACACAAGCTCCGCCGTAGACAAAAGCAATGGCGTCAAGCGTCAATCCATACTTGATCCACTCGACTCGTTTGCACGGAGGCACATTGGACCTTCGTCCAGCGATGCTCAACGTATGCTTGAAGCCCTGGATCCGCCGGTTCAGAATCTAGACGCATTTGTCAAAGAGGTGCTTCCGGTGAACATACGGAGCACCAAAGATATCGACATCAATGGCCCAGCTTTTGATTCAAGGCCCGAGGGCTATTCAGAGACAGAGCTGATTGCACGATTGCGGAAGATTGCAAAAGAGAATAAGGTTATGAGGAGTTACATTGGGTGCGGTTTTGCTGGGACAAAAGTGCCAGAGGTCATCAAGAGAAATGTGCTGGAAGGTCCAGGGTGGTATACAAGCTATACACCCTATCAGCCCGAGATCAGTCAAGGACGGTTGGAGTCGCTGCTGAACTTCCAGACAGTAGTGACCGATCTAACAGCTCTTTCAATTTCCAACGCCTCGGTACTCGACGAGCCTACCGCTGCAGCAGAAGCTATGACCCTTTCGATGAACGCCTTGCCAGTCACCCGGCAGAAGCGGCCGAACAAGACTTTCCTGGTTTCCCACCTCTGCCATCCCCAAACAATCGCAGTATTAGAGTCCCGTGCGGACGGCTTCGGTATTAAGATTGTTGTTGCAGATATCTTAGAGAAAAATTGTGCGAATGTTAAAGAGACAGGAGAGGACTTGATCGGAGTGCTTGTACAGTATCCAGACACGGAGGGTGGCGTTGAGGACTTCCAAGGCCTTGCAGATGTTGTACATGGACAAGGAGCTACGTTAAGCGTGGCCACTGATTTACTGGCCCTTACCCTTTTGAAACCTCCAGGAGAGTTCGGCGCTGACATTGCATTTGGGAATGCACAGCGTCTTGGCGTTCCTTTTGGATACGGAGGTCCTCATGCTGCGTTCTTTGCATGCGGAGACAAATATAAGAGGAAAATTCCTGGCCGATTGATTGGTGTGTCGCAAGACAGGTTGGGAAACAAGGCCATGAGATTAGCCCTGCAGACTCGGGAGCAGCACATAAGGCGAGAGAAAGCAACGAGTAACATATGCACTGCTCAAGCTCTCCTTGCGAATATGAGCGCTTTCTATGCCGTCTATCATGGCCCAAGTGGTCTCCGAGAAATCGCCCAAAAAGCCGTCAATGGTGCTCGCATTCTCGAGGAGGGTGTCCGAAGGCTTGGGTTCAGCACTGGCGCTCAAGGAAAGGGTGAAGACAGTCGAGCATTGTTCGACACCATAGCCATAGAGGTAGGATCTGGACGTGCTCCGGAAATCGCCGCCAATGCAGCAGAGACAAGCGGCATCAATCTTAGAATTCTGGATAACGCCAGGCTTGGGGTCACGATAGACGAGACGGTCGAGCATCAAGACTTGGAAGATATCCTGGCAATCTTTGCGAAAGTGGCGTCGACATCTGAAAGCGACATTCCGTCAGTGGACGAGATCGCCTCAGATCTGTCGCTTTCGGCATCGGAGCTTGCAGGAGTTCCTTCCACTCTCAAACGAACGTCTACTTATCTTACACATCCTGTTTTCAACACTCATCACTCGGAGACTGAGCTCCTGCGCTACATCCACCATTTACAGTCGAAAGATTTGTCTTTGACTCACTCTATGATACCACTCGGCTCCTGTACGATGAAGCTCAACGCTACCACCGAGATGATACCGGTTTCGTGGCCCGAATTTTCTTCAATCCATCCATTCGTGCCAGTAGATCAGACCAAAGGATATACAATTTTGATAAACGAACTCGAACGAGACCTTGCTGAAATCACTGGCTTCGATGCGGTCTCACTGCAGCCTAATTCAGGCGCTCAAGGCGAGTTCGCAGGTCTTCGAGTGATCCGGAAATACCAGGAAACGCAGCCAGGCAAGAAGCGTGATATCTGTCTTATACCTGTCTCTGCCCATGGTACAAATCCTGCAAGTGCTGCTATGTGTGGGATGCGTGTAGTGACTATCAAATGCGAGACTGCCACTGGGAATTTAGACATAGCGGACCTCAAGGCCAAGTGCGAGAAATACAGCGAAGAGCTTGGTGCGATTATGGTCACATACCCTAGCACATTCGGAGTCTTCGAGCCGGAGGTAAAGCAGGTCTGCGAGATAGTCCACGCTCACGGTGGGCAGGTCTACATGGACGGAGCGAATATGAATGCGCAGATCGGTCTCTGCTCGCCTGGAGAGATTGGCGCCGACGTTTGCCATTTGAACCTCCATAAGACGTTCTGCATTCCGCATGGTGGTGGTGGACCTGGCGTCGGCCCTATTGGTGTCAAGTCTCATCTAGCGCCTTTCCTACCAGGCCACCCTTTAATCAAGACTGGGGGAGAGAAGAGCATTGCGCCAGTCAGTGGAGCACCATGGGGCAGCGCGGGCATTTTGCCAATCAGCTGGGCATACATCAAGATGATGGGCGGTCGTGGCCTTACACATGCAACCAAAATCACCCTCCTCAGTGCTAATTACATCCTCTCCCGCCTCAAGCCCCACTACCCGATCCTTTATACCAACGCTGCCGGTCGCTGTGCCCACGAGTTCATCCTCGACGTGCGTCCTTTCAAGGAATCTGCTGGTATCGAAGCCATCGACGTGGCCAAACGATTGCAAGATTACGGCTTCCATGCACCCACCATGTCATGGCCTGTGGCTAACACCCTTATGATCGAGCCTACTGAAAGCGAAAATTTAGCTGAGCTCGACCGGTTCTGTGATGCATTGATTGAAATTCGCAAAGAGATCAAAGCTGTAGAGCAGGGTGAGCAGCCGAGACAAGGCAATGTTTTGAAGATGGCGCCTCATCCTTTGCAAGACCTGCTAGTGGGAGAGAAGTGGGAGAGAAGCTACGGAAGGGAGAAGGCGGCTTATCCATTGCCATGGTTGAAAGAGAAAAAGTTTTGGCCCAGTGTTACGAGGGTCGATGATGGTGAGTGAGGTATTGTGAATGGTTGAATGTAGTAGACTAACAGGACTCCAGCTTACGGTGACATGAATTTGTTCTGTTCTTGTGGGCCTGTCGAGTCTATTGATGGAATGACTGGGGCCGCGGCGCCATCGCCGACATAAGTTCCTTCGAGGGTCGCCAGAGCACCTCTCATTCACGAGGTCACAATCCCTACGATGGCAGGGTTTTGGGTTGGACATCGCCTGTCAACGCACCATTTCTTTGAAGGTATGAACCGGTTTCTAATGAATGGCGCTAGCGACTACAACTACGACTATCTCTGGAAGCATACCTGGATGACACGACTTGATCACGAGTATTTGATTTGAATAGGTGTTTTGAGAAGGGTTGATACCATTGGGATCTGCTTATGACCATCTTCAACAAGTGGTCTGCATGGATGTTGTCTGCAATCTAGCGATGCATCGCATTCAACAGGTGCATAGCAATGGGGCTCGGGACCACGGATTTGGAGTCTTTCTTGGGTAAATCATACATAGAATGTGCCTCTTCCTGACCTGGGAGAATGAGGTTTGAGGTGTTTCGTTAAAGACATAGACTCATAAAGGTACATTTCTAGGGTATTATACCCAGAAAACACAGGCATTTTCATCCCAGACTGCTGCAGAATGCTACCAAAACAGATATCGGCCGTGGGTCGTAGGGTCGACTGGATTAGGGCAAGACCCGGGCGAATAAAACGCTAGTTTAGAACAGTATCTCAGCCTTACAGTGTCACAAGTGACGAGCAGGCAGTCTACCAAGCTCAACACAACAAGCGATTCTTTACCAAGCTGTACGAAAGATCTTCAACACACCTTACCTACGAATTTTGTCCAATCTGTCTACCTCGATTTACCGCCACCTACCTCACAGAACCGACCTTGTATTACCACCTCAGATCCAACCCACATCATGAGCAGCCTCGAGAAGAGCTTGTTCAATTTGAAGGTGTGGGGAGTCTATGCGCACGTTCTCTTGCGGAACAGTCAAGTAACTGCTAAATTCAATCCTAACTAAATCTAGTTCACAGCAAAACAACTGAACCGACAAGCCGCCAAAGCGGGCAAAGACGAGACAGCAGAGAAGAACAAGCTCAAAAAGGTCCCAATCCTTCCCTCTCCTCCTCCAAACCGTTGCCGGCTAACCGCCGCTTCTACCCGCAGGCGATACAACAAAACCACCCCGACATCGCCAAGATCTACGCCCAGAACGCGATCCGGAAGCAGAACGAGAAGCTCAACCTCCTCCGGTTAGGCTCGCGGATAGACGCCGTCGCCAGCCGGGTCCAGACGGCGGTGACGATGCGGCAAGTCACCGGCAGCATGGCGGGCGTGGTCCGAGGGATGGAGGGCGCCATGAAAGCCATGGATTTGGAAAAGGTGAGGCCGGAACGCTCAGATCGGCCCACCTCTCGAGAGTCGCGAATCTCACAATCTCCCAGATCTCCGCCGTGATGGACAAGTTCGAGACCCAGTTCGAAGACCTAGACGTCGCGACCGGCTACTACGAGAACGCGACGTCGTCCGCCACCGCCGTCGGGACGCCGCAGGACGACGTCGATAAGCTGATGCATATGGTCGCGGATGAGGCGGGGGTGGAGTTGGGGGCGGAGATGAAGGCGCCGGAGACGGGGGTGCCGGCCGCGAAGGTTGGGGCGGAGGATGAGAGGGAAGAGGGGTTGGGGGAGAGGTTGAGGGCGTTGAGGAATTAGGGCGGTTGGGGAATCGGATTGGATTGGATTGGGGAGGGGTGGTGTTGGGCGTTTCGGGGGCTGGGAAATGAAGGCATAACGAGGCGGGGTCTTCACGAAGAAAATTTACAGCCGGAGAGGTCTATGCTTCTATGATGCGAATAGTAGGTCCACAAGGGTTGGCGATGACGGACATTCACCGGGAAATAGAAGCGGGACCGACTTGGATTGATGTTTTCCATGCGTGGCCCATCCAAGTCTATATGGAGTTCATGGAACGTGACAGCAATCCGCCAACTTGATATTAGCCCGCCTCTTCGCCCAGATTGTATTCATGCCGCAGCTTCATGGGCCCAAGGCCGTAATGTCACTTCCAGAAATTCTCTGTCCTAAACGCAATTGAGAATCAGGTCCCCATAACCTTCAACTCTCCGTCCTTGACCTTCCCAGCCTCAACAAGCCTCTTCACCTCCTCGCTCCAGACCTGCCCTACCTCCTCCGCAACTTTCATTCCGCCAAGCTTGCCCGCCAAGCTAGCCATCTCCTCAGCATCAATCTTAGCCATGACAGCTTCGACATCGTTCAGTACTTGATCGACCCTCTTTGCGCCAGCTTCTTGTCCAGCAGGAAGCAGATAGTTGGCGTCTTTCACACTTGACTTCAGCACTCGCTTGTTCTTCTTCATAGCATTCTTGGCAGCTTCCTTGGCCTTCTTGCCCTCGGCTTTCTCGGCCTTTGAGGCCTCCTCTGTTTCTTTTCGTAGCCGTTCTTTCTCTTCGGCCGCTTTCTGCGCATCTTCCTTTTCTTTCTTTTCCGCCGCTTCCCTTTCCAGTCTCTTTTTGTCTTTACCGGCTCGCTCTTCCTTCTTGAACCGCTTGATCCGTTCGTCGCCGGCTAAACAGTCGTCCACCAGTTGCCTTAGCCGCGTCGTATCCTCAGTCTTCTTCTTCTTTCTTGCATTGTTGTTCTTTCGCTCAACGTGCCGCTTCTGGTCTCGGTTCTCATTGTCATCGGGTACATCCTCATCCTGATATTCGAAAGACCGCCAGCTGTCAAAGTTGTACCAAAAATTATAGAATTCCTCCACTTCCTCTTTCTTGCTCTTATCGTCTCCCAGTCTTGGAACGGGCTGTGTCTTGCTGAAGCGCCCCTCGGCTACAAAAACAGGGTTCCATAGCTTGAAAAAGTTACCTTTCTGGGCTTGCTTCTTAGACGGAGGTTCAACGTCGGCAGCCTCGTCTACTGAATCAAACTGACGGCGTTTGACAGGGTCGAGGAGGATTTCAGTGGCTTTTTGTATGCATTTAAAGAAGGAGTCATCCTCGGAGGAGCCAGCGGCTGCTTTCTTATCGGGGTGATGGCGAAGAACCTTCTTGCGGTGGGCGCGTTTGATCTGGGTTTCTGTAGCTTTGTAGCGATGCTTGGAAAGGCCGAGTACGGCGTAGTGGTCTTGTCCCTGCGGTGGTAGAAGTGAGTGGTGGAACACTCGTGAGACACATGAATGAATGGAGGGAATACCTTCCAGTCTTTTGCGTCACGCTGTAACATCAGCGGATCTTCGGGCTCGCTAATCTCTCCGACATCGTCGTCCTCGACCTTCTTAACGCTCTCTTGAGCTTGAATTCGATCGTCTTCAGAAAAGGTACGTTGGTGACGCTTCTGCTACAAGGTCAGAGTTCGGAGTAGCTATTATGTTTCAAGCGATCAATGGGAGCTGACTGACTCTTCGTGCGTGGGCGAGAAAATGAGGTCCCACAGGCTCAATGTTGCGCTGTGTAGCAGATGAAAGCTGGCCAATCGATTTGAAGTCTTTCTCACCTGCCCAACCCTGGGGCAGCACAGGTAGAGGTAGCGAAAAATGAACAGCAGCCATGCTTGATAGTATTGTTATTATTGTTGACGAACCTCAGCTTTTTTTTTGAATACCAGTTTCCGCCGCTAAGCAACTTCTTGGCGACGGGAGTTAATCCTTGCAAGGCGTCCCCTCGCTCCCGGTCCGGAGTCGCTCATAAAAATCATCGACTTACAGACCTAGGCCGCACACTGCCTCCATTGGCTATATCAACCATTTGGTCACAAGATTTGTATTGCGTCAAACATAAACCACTTCATCTGCAAGCTCTTCTTCATTGCCAATGGCCCTGGCAGCATATCGTCACGTCCTTCGATCCACCCAGGTTGCATTTCAGGGTACTTGCTTCAAACCCTACAATCCATGACTTTCGGGACTCCAATTACATTGTTAGACGTCTAACACGTGCAATATCTTTGCAGGCGATCTCCGGACACTCTCGGCCGCCCGTGTCGAAGCGCGCTCGAAGTTCGATCAGAATCGCTTCCTCTCCCCTTCCAGCACCGAGGCTGAGCAAAAGGTGCTCGAAGCGAAGGAGGTAGCGCGTATATTGAGGCAGAATGTTGTGCAGGGAGAACAGGTCACGGGGTCTAAACTTCAGGAGCAAAGATACCGTGCGTAAATCCTATGTGCCAGGCTTGAGCGCCTCTCTGTGGAGCCAGGGCATTTCCCGGTTCGACTGCTGAGGGCTCATCGTCGATGCTAATACAACGGGCTATGCAGAGCTACGAATTCATGAGGAGATTGAGCGGGGCAACAACGACTCGATCAAAAAGGGGTCAAGTCTAGCAGCGGCTGCAACAGGATTTTGTGGTGGAGCAAGATGACCCTGGGATTGGCGTTAGGCATCTAAGCGTACTCATCTTTCAGAGATATCTGAGACATCAAGATCTGCTTTGTGCCCAATCGGATGCTGGACCCACCCACCAAAGAGACGCGTGCGGTACGTTTCAGACCCTTCGTCTAAAGATTCGGTGAGGGAGCTCTGCTCGGCTGGAAAGAAATGCCTGAGCTCGACGTGCGCTTGACGTGACTCCTCCTGGACGCTTTCACCATCGGTAGCAGAACCACAATTCAAGACTGCTCGGCCCCTGATGTGCGAAGTTTATACATCGCGAACCAATCAGTCTCTTAAAATCTAAGACTCCGCTCCGAATATTTGCATATGTCTTCAGGGTCTGAAAGCGCAAGACAAGCTTATCAGATTGGGAACGTTGCGCATCTCGAATGGCGCCCTGTTTGCCTTCGACCTGGTCTCGCAACCGAGTGCCGAAGACAACAGGCAACAACGGAAGACAAGCTTGCTCGCGCTGATGGATTACCAAAGTCTCTGCAATGCAGCGATCGACTGAACCACATGGTCAATGCGTTCAGAAATCAATTTGTCGTTACATATGCGCATATATCGTTGTTATCTGAGACTGTCAAACACCTACCCCAGATTTTTTATCTCTGAGGATTTACGTCCAGGATTAAGGCAGCCGTCGGCAGCTAAACCTTCAATGCAGTATCGTCAGAATTCTGCAGGCTCTGCACTGCAGCGGTGCAGAGCGTGCAGAACATATCTGTGGTTCCTCCCCGCCCGAAATTTTTAGCTTGCGGTACCACTTTGGCGCATTCTGCGGCCTCATAAGCGTACGCGACAGAACTTCTCAACTTGCAGGATGCCCCATTGTTGAAACGTTTATTGGTTGATCTTACTGGAACGCACAACGCAAAAGACGCCAGGAGTGTTTGGGATCAATTCATGACCGGGTTTGCAATACTAGATCACGTGGCGATTACTGCACTCCATGGCAACCCTCTCATCTCCCAGTCCAACTTTCAGCCTCGTGCAGGTCACGATGGACGAACGTATTTGGGAGATCCTCTCTGCCAATGATAGAGGTGTCTCATCAGTTGTCTCCCTCGTGAAGAAATCTACCTTGGTTTTGAATTCCTCTTAAAAATGTCATCCTCTGCAGCGTCGAACCAATCTCAGATCATCATCAACATCGCTTTTGGTATTGCAGCCACAGTCATAAGCATCATCACCGTGTGGCAGGGTCATCGGGCTTGGCGGCTGTGGCACGAACATTGCTGCCGTCAGCAGACTACCTTTTCAGGTCCCCACCCGCGAGTTTCCATTGTGATAGACGATACTCATACGGCATTTAGACATCGAGCTTGGCTCAAGACCATCTGTTCCGGCGATCACGAGTCTTGAAGGGCCTGGACATGGATGTTCCCAAAGCCATCTGACTGACGGAATATCAACACCGACAACGTCGAACCCTGGAAGCGCCATTTCAGACTTCTCCAAAGACGTTGAGTCTGTTGAAGCTACCTCACCTCTGGATCTTCTTACCACTGTATCTTGGGAAGAGGTTACCACGTTTTCCGGAGCCTTCCCATCTCCATTCACACGGTCCTTGGCTAGCTCGCATTCAGAAATCGAGCTCAGTATGCCCCCGAAGCCTACCCTGCTACGAAACTCAAAAAGCCTCGAGGCCGTTCCGCATCTCAGTCTCTACTGATACGGCCATAGATTGTTTCGCTTGGACGGCTCTCATGATTTGGATGTGGATAAATGGTGATTTGGGATGTGCTGGGAGCATCTTACGAGCCTACTGGTCATGATGGGTTGTGGAGTACGCAACGGAGTTTTGGTCCATAAGACCTTGCGACAGGCTCGGGTTCATCCTTGTCTTCCTTCGCTTGATCATGTACGAGCTCCTCGGTTACGGCCGCTTACTCTTTGATGGTAGCCAATTCATGTCATTCGGGGCCCAGCATTCCTGTCTTTCTCTGCGCGAAGCACTATCAAAGTCAAAATGAGTATGCAGAACCGATCGTCAAACAGTCCTTGTGATTTAGACCCAACTAATGATGAGTCAAGATTGCAATACCCAATTTCGATTGCTTGTCACACCTCCGTCATTCTTCCTGTCCTCTTTGCTTTGTACTTGAATTAACCAGACTCAAACCTGTGTCTCTTCCCCTCCCGTCACTCCTCTAGCTACTCTGACACTCAAACCTACAAGTTAGCCGCAAGCAAGCTGTCAGCAGGGTTGGCAGTCTGAGGCGCTGAACCCTATTGTCCCCACGTCAGTTTGGGGCATAAACTCTGGAAATCTCTCGTTAAAGATTAAGATTGCTTAAAGGGGAACGCTCAATGATGGATATACCTTCTTGTTGGTACTGCCCTTGTCGATATCTCACAGTCCTACACCCGTCGATTGCCACGCTCCCGGGCTCCATGCCTGGCGGTCAATGTCGAGTAGCATCATTTCGCTACAGCCTCCAAGGTGGCAGCGTGCTGAACTCAGGGATGAGTCTAAGCCACCCAAAAATGTCTTTTTCCAGCTCACCACAACTCAACAGCGATTGAGATTACGACAGGACTTTCGAGCCCCAGTCATCATAAATGTAAAGTCTTAAAATTCTGTTACTGATTCTTATACCTATACTCTGAATCCTATTGATCAAAGGTTTTACTTGCAAAATCCTCGTCCTGAACCAGCTTGCCAACCCCTGGGATGCGCTTCACAACCCCCAACCTACCATTCTAATCATAAGCAGCGGTATTGCATTAGCCAATGGATGCGATTTCTTTTAGCTGCGATGTGGTGGCAGAACAAGCGCGACGGGAGCGTTTTTAAGGTCGTCTTAGGAAGTCCCATCAGTGACTTGCATCATCGTGGCGCAGCTGAACCACTCAACTTTGGATCGACCTTCTTCTCCGTTTCCATTGCACGCGCTCTCTCTACTATGCAGCTTACAGCGTGTTCGACAGATCTGCTGTTGCCAGCCTTATTGTGCGTGTGCTAGACATTCTATTGATGGAGAAGACGATTTTATCATCACGTTGGATGCAATTCAGGATGAGCAGGCCAAGCAAGCGATGACTTGCACGAGCGTCAGTGCCTGGGCTGGGAGTAATCAAATCCCATTCACCCCGTCTTGCTTCCACCTACCGACGTCACTTATTCTTCACTGTATTGTCAACGAGCTGTTACACGTGCCGCGCCAAAACTTGGACCCCCAGGTGTTTCAGGCCCATCGATGCTCCTGTGGTTGGTGCGTCTTCCAAGTTTGTACAATGGCCTCCTTGAGAAATTGTGTCCCACCTATGGACACGCAATTCGCTCGCACTGGTGGGAGACGCAAGATGTCTACTACAGGGCTGACTGTTTACTATGCTGCTGATGGGTCTTTTCAAGTAGAAGAACAGGGTCAAAAGGCTTCGTCAACAGCCTGATTCTTCGGCTTGAAGTCGTCTTAACTGTACTCGTAAGAGTTCAATTGGCGTGCGGATAACAGTGGGAAGGAGCCGCAGACAATGTACTTGTACACTACATAAGCGAAAGTTAGCGACTTGCTCATCTACTTAGCCAGGTCGACGGCGGCCTATCGGAGATGAACTATAATGTTTTTGTCGTACGGGGTCATCGAGAATTGCCGCAACCGTGATTAGGATTACTCGACTTGGTGCAGATCATATCCCCTACGAAAATATTTTGCGCGTAGGTTGTATCATGCCTGCAAATCTCGAATATGGGTAATTCTCGGTGACCCGTCCACCCGTCCTCGCGGTCCAGATTATTCGATGGGGTGGCATTTCATCAGTCACGACAGTAACGAAAAAACCTTTGCGGTACACAGAGTGAAAATAAGAATTCCAAACAGTTTTTGTACTCAAACTATCAGCTAAATCTCATTCGTTGCGAAATTATCAAGACCTTCGTAGTTTAGACGGACGGGCGTCTTTGCGTTGTTGCAACCCGCGGTCCAGTGCACCTTCATAACATGGGCGAATGAAAGTAACCCGAGGACAAACAGGGATCCAACAAACAGGGATCCAACGACTTTCACCATCTCTCGACCACTGATTTTGCTGGAGATCCTGTCCCTTTCAACCCATAGGAAAATCCTTCTATAAGATGGCTGGCTCTCGCTATAAAATGGTTGCCTCAGTGTCAATAAACTGTCTACGGCCTCGTCATTGCTTAATATATCGTGGAGTCTCGTCTTTCTGCACCTTCTCGCCGCACTAATTGCCCCCGTTAGCATGTCTTCCTCAGCCTCGTCCAACTCAACCGAGACAGTCACCAATATCGTCTTTGGTGTCACTGCCACTACGATTAGCATTGTGACCGTATGGCAAGGTCACAGAGTATGGAAGATGTGGCACGAATATGTCCATGATCAGGAGAATGTGGCTCCTGGTCCGGTTTAACCCATCCACTTTCAACAGTGGCATTTTTACTTACAGTCACCGGGTAGACATTGAGCTCGGTATCCAGTCGTCCCGATCCACGCCTAGGAGCCTCGAGCCTCCAGAACGTGACGAGGTCATCGCTAGCTCAGCTCCGTCGGCAAACCAAGTTGGAGGAGTTGCCGAGTCCGTGGCCATGCCTGGGTCTGTACAACACCCCGAGCTTCAGCCCACTCCCACGACGGCAGTCAACACCGAGGCAAGTCTCAGCTCAGCTTTGCTCCAAGAAGCACCGATTGATAGCAACGGACTTGCTGGGGTCGACGCTGAGAATGCACAGCCTGCCTTGACAGACGTGGAGTGTCAGGAACTCCGTCCTGCCGCCAACGACCATCTCTGACCCCAGCAGGAGTCACAAGCCGGACGGGAAGAGCATCCTGCCACGGCTCAGACTGCAATCGTCGGCGTTAGATGGGGTCGTGGCAAGCTGTTGGATAGGCTTTGCACCGTGGATAAACATAGGGAGTGCAGGCGACATGGAAGGATAAAGAGGCGAAATCTATGATAATGATGGGGTTGCGCTTCATACAATGGCATTAGATTATGATCACGGCTCGTGCTCCGCAATGCGTTGACACCTCGACTTCTCCATGAGCTTTGTGACCGCATTGCATTGAGCTTCCCTCCTTTTCATGTCGCAAACATCTGGCTCCTAGCTCTCATCCAGCCATTGTCCGAGCTTCACCCAAATCATCAGTACATCTCCAACCCGGCTTTTCACCCGTCCGTATCCGCGTTTACTGCACAAATTCCTCGACGTATTGACATTTTCCCCTCCTCCACAAGCCATGTAAACGAAATGTAACAGGTTCTCCACCTCTTCGTATCGACCGATTTCTTTTCACCCAACCCCTTTTTCGACTTTATCGTCGGCGGTCAAAACTCCGCTGCCCTAAACAAAATATCATGCTTCCAAATGACACAAAATGTTAAACCCCAATCCACTAGCAAAAAGCCACCGCCCACCCCGCTTCCCCCCCCCAACCAAGCACAACCACCCCTCCACCCCTCACATCTACAACCACCCCTCCACCCCTCACATCTACAACCACCCCTCCACCCCTCACATCTACAACCACCCCTCCACCCCTCACATCCACAACCACCCCTCCCCCCACCAAACACACCACTCCTCCACCCCTCACATCCACAACCACCCCTCCACCCCTCACACCCACAACCACCCCTCCACCCCTCCACCCCTCACACTTCTCCACCCCTCCACCCCTCCACCCCTCCCCCCCACAATGCCCCGCCCACCCCTCCCCCACCCCCCCCATCCCCCCCATCCACATCCCCATCCCTCTCACTTCCTCCGCCCTCCCACATCCCCCCCCCTCACCACAACCTCACCCACTTGCCACCCCCTCACCCACTTGCCACGACGCGCACGGGCCCACCCCGGCACGAGATCCCCTTCACCTACGACCCAACCTACGACCCGACCGCCGACGACGACGACCCGGGCCCGTGACGTTCCCCGCTCCAGGGGCCCGGGGGCGGGCGGGGCGCTGACGGGTTTGTACGCGCGGGCGCACGGGGAGGCGGTCGCGGGCGCGCGGGCATCTTCGCCGGGAACGATTCTTCCCCCTCCTTCCCCCTCCTCCTCCCCCTCCTCCGCCCCAACCCCCGTGGCCCCCAACCCCCACCCCCCCGTGGCCGAGGACGAGCTGCTGGCGCTGCGCGGGACGGGGGCGTGCGTGCTCGATCTATCTGGCGGGGCCGTACGGCGGCCGCGGGAGTGAAAGCCGAGGTCGAGGGGAAGGGGGGGGGCGGTGCATCTGGTGCACGGGAGGGACGTCGCGAGGGCGGTGGGTGGGGGTGGTTGGGGAAATGAGGTTTGACGCGGTGGGGGGGGGGAGGTGGATCGTGACGGGTTTGCGGGTGTAGGATTGTGTGGGATTTGATCATGGGTTGGGGGGGGGGAGGGAGGGGGCGGGTGGAAGGGGGGGAGGGGGTGGAGTATGAGCGGTGGGTTGGGGAGTTGATGAGGGAGGAAGGGGTGAGGGCGCTGCCGAGGGAGAAGGAAGCGTTGGGGCGGGTGCTAGATGGTAGGGATTTTTGGGAGGCAATCGGGAGTTGGCCGGGGGAAGGGAGGGTGACTTGAACGGTGGAGACGATGTTGGTGCGTGGAAATGGGGACAGTGAGCACTGTAATGTTGAAACGTCTTGATCGGTAAGACATAATGCTTGGTAACGCGAGGGTTCGTAGCCCAGCTAACTAGTGGTACATGGTTAATCTTGCCCGCAAGCTTGTGTAAGCTGTACTCCATGAACGCCTGGAGATTCATCTCCTTCTATCCTTTTGTGACCGATGATTCCCCAGAGTCGACCCGCTTCTCCTAGTACCCCTCAATATCGATCCGGCACCACCCCTTAGACCAACCTTGTCACCATGGCGAGTTACCCATCGGACACCCAGCCCTCGAGCTCCGTTCCCGCTCGTCATGCTGCCGGTCTTAGGTCGCAGTGCCCAACCCGTCGCAGCCCTTAGAGGGCGCGCCAGGGAAGGGCTGCTGAGCAGAAGACGTCGCAGCAATCTGAGACGAAGAATTGGAGCCGTCGAGTGAGTAGCCTCCGGAGTAGAAATCGCTTTGGCGGGCGAGGTCTTCGTTGTTGTAGGTGTTGGTGTCATCGATTTTGTTGGTGAAGGCGGTAGTAGACTGACAGGCGTCGAGATCAACCATCGAATCAAAGGTAAAGCCATTGGCGTTGTCATCATCGATGGAGGAAGCGGCGAACCCGTCCTTAAAGAAGTGAAGATCATCCTCAACGGATGCATCAGTTGCGAATAGACTGCCGAAATCAACATCAGACAGAGAAGATTGGCCGAATATGATTGGATCGCGTGGGGAATCGTAGGCCGAGTCGATGTTTGACGTGCTGCCGCGGACTGACACTGCAGGTCGCACAACATCGCAGCAGGATGTTGTGTCATGTCCGGGGTAGCAGTCAAAGCATCGAGATCTAGACCCATTGTCGCTGGCGTTGATGATTCCGAGTAAGTGGCGGTTGATGGGGATGAGTAGGATGTGGATGGCGCGCCGTGGGAATGTTGGGGCGTCGGTAGGTTGTATGGGTAGTCGTCTAATAATTCTTGCTTGATGAATTGTTCCCGAGTCAGGAGGTCTGGTTCAAGTGGTGGTGAGTCGACACGAGGTGTTGCCGAACATCCCCGTTTGATGGCTTCCATCTGCGCGGCCAGCTTGGCGACTTGCTGGGTGAGGAGAAACTTCTCATGCTCGACGGTCATCAATCGTTCCTTGAGAGACTCGTTCTGTTGCTCAATGAAGGACTTTTCGCCTTCGAGTTTCTCGACTTCTTGTCGCTTGCGCTCTCGCGATGATTGCGCAGCTTGTCGATTTCGCAGGACTCGCTCTATTCGACGTTGCTCTTTCTCATCCTCCGTCTTTGCTCGCTTGCTGAAAGAGGTGTAAGTCAATGGGAGAAAGTGTCTCAAGTCGCAATAGCTTACCGAGGAGGAAGGTTTGTCTTTGGTGTTGGGAGTTCTTGACCCCATGACTTTCGCTTCTTCGTCGGCTTTTTCGACTCGTCACCCTCGACGCTCTCCTCCTTGACATTATAAGATGACTCGGGTGACATGGGTTCGGGGGTCATTAGATTGTTCTGTAATGAAGTATCGGAGAGGGAGATGGTCGCCTGTGGGTTGTAGAAATCATTGGTTCCGAAAGCCATAGCGGGCGACAGTACTTCGGCCATGTTTTGAAATGTTGGCTTGAGTCTCAACAGATATGGCGACGCGTATGGCGAGGGTATGCTGGTATGCTTTTGATAGAGTCTTTGAGGAAGAGAAGTTGAGATGTGATGTAGGGATGGTTGCCTTGGGGAGCCCTTAGATATTGAGTTGAGGACACATATTCTTTCCGCTGTGGCGGGTACGGCCGCATCTAGGCAGTAAGATTATGTACCGAAGATCACCGAGGGTTTATCATGCATGTACCGAGGGTGAATCAATAATAAGCACGGCTGATGAAAAGAGCGTAGGGTTTTTTTGATGAGTGAAGTCGATGATATAAAGTGAAGGATAAGATGGAGAAGAGAGAGAGAGAGAAAAAGAAAGAAAGGCGGACCCAGGGGATTTTATGTGGGCAGACGGAGGGAATGGAGAGGAAGGGAAGGGAGAATGCCAATTTTAATTAGGGGCTCGCAAAAGATGCAAATAAAAATGTTGCAGGTGCCACCAAAACGCCTAAGCCCCTGATGAAATTTAGCTCCCGTCCCCCCTCCAACAATCGCCGTCGCTTCTAATTCTAATTCTGTAACCCATTTTACGCAGTACGAAGGCGAAACGAACTGCTCCGTTTAATGTTGCATTTTGCATACGGCATACGCCTTGCATCATATTATTCTCATTACTATTTCTTAGCCCTGTCCGACCTCAACAATCCCGCCCGACATACTTCTTCTTCGGCTCCATGCGCATCTTTCTCCTGAGCATTAACCTCGTAAAATATACTCTCCCTCGAGCTCGACAACTACGTGGGTGGCAAATTGGAATGTGCTTAAATTTGTCTCACCAAATAAGGGAGTCGCAAAAGTGCGCAAAGGAAACGGATTCAGCAAGCCATCTTCTCCACTCGCCGTTTCACGGCACCGCACACACCACAATCAAAGGTGAAATCCTGTACGGTGCAGAGACTGAGGGAAAGAACACTGCCTGCAGGATGCATACTGACCAAGTATCTTACCAGTCGTTCATGATGGTAAGATAAGAGACCATTACGGAAGATAGACCATATGCAATATTGCTGCATCGATGGTTCTCGGCTCAGCTCGTAGAGAAGCTGACTGTGCCAAACGCACTGCTCGCCGTACATCTCCGTCGTGAAGCATTAGCCCGACAGCCTGGTCATGATCATGATGATCTCACCTCGCTCTATCTTCAGACTTCACTTCATCGGCCATCGAAAATGCGTTAAACCAGTGTTACAAAGTCGGGTCGGAAGAATGATGGTTGCTTCAGCTATTTAGCGCTTCCCGTATTTCCTGTGGCACGAAACGGCGTCTCCTTCCCATTTATGCGCACTTCCCACTTCCCACTACCACATTCAGGTAAGCGACACGCAGGGTAATCGGTCAGAAACGGATGAACGGCCTTGTGTTACGACTTAGGACTGAGGACTTAGAATTCCCCTTCGGAAATGATTACGTAGGAAGAGTACATGTTGACATAGCTCTGAGCCTCCAAATGGCAATGCATACGCAAAAACTCGGGCGGACCTTGTGCCCCTACTCTCAATCTCCGCACTTTTGTCACTCTTGTGATTTGCTGAATGATTTCAAGAAGGATGAAACAAAGCGGAGAACGGAGGGCTTGGACGTTCCACGCCAGGTTGACATGTGGTACAGCAGCTGATAATCCTCAACCCCGGCATCATAACGGATCAGTAAGCTTGAGAGGCAACACCCGTATGGAATTATGCGTTGGGGTCCGCATCAGTAAAGTGGATCTGAGGGCGTCTCTGATCATGTTGTGCATGGCCTTGGCTACGCCTCACGCCCATTCCACTCGTTTCTAGCCAAAATGACTCATGTGAGCTCCATGGTATCATCGTTCCCACCGCTGAGAGGCTCCTCTAGAGGCACACCTCTACCCCGGCCTTCTAACAATTCCCGTCGAACCTCTGGTCCAATGGCTTTGTGCCCCCTGACAAGTAGAAGATCCAGTAAAGCTTCCCGCTGGTCCTCCGTAATGTCATTCCTGTACCGCTGCGCGAATGCGAGCAGGCATTGGTGCCACAGCACTGGGAGGCTAGTCGCTCCGAAGCCTACATCACGCCCATTTGCTGGTGGTGTGACGCGGAATCGGAGAAAGTGGAACACTAAGCCATCAATGACCTTGTATGGAAGCGCGTACTTCTTCTCCAGCAGTATTCTGATGAAGATGTTGGTCGCCCCGGCTGCTTCCGTAGATATTGAAGATGTCTGCTCTGCTGCTATTTCTGTCAATCTGAGCAGGGCTGCGGCTGAGTGTAAGACCGGTACCGATACTCGGGCAAGGACGCTGGAAATGATTTGGGCCTCGCGCAGCGTGCATTGACCCTCGTTCAGTAATGGAAACAATACGCCCTTAAACCAGGCCGATGGCTTGTACAGTGCTTTCTTCAAAGCTTTGTAGAGGTGAACGCTAAGCTTCTTCGTTTCGTGGATTTCTTCTCTCACGCGTTCGAGCAATACGTTTCGGAGGAACATTTGAGCGATACCAGCGCTCCCCGATACGAAGATCTTGGTGGCTTCATAGCATGCGTTTGGCGTCCAAGACTCCGGTCTGGTGATGGCGAGGAGCTCCTCCCATTGCGGTAGTGTGGGAACGATCTTGAAAGGCTTCGGAAGTTTGCCGGACTTATAGCGAGATAAAATCATGCCGATCCTGCGTGAATGAGTGAGCAGAGCCAGTGATTGATGATATCTGCAAGCATACTTTGAGTACACTTCCACCACTTTTGCTGGTAACTCGATAGCTTCCTCAGGCGGTCCACCGCCTTGTATGATAGGCTGCCCCGTTTGCGTAGCTTCGTGTGCGGCAATCTTCTCTAAGATCAGATCTGCCAGATTGGTCCCTTGTTCTTCTTCAGTACCCTTGTTGGCAGTCGCCTGTAGGATGGCGTCTGCCGAAGTCGATGGCATGAATTTATCGAAGAGACTCAAGTCATCCGGATCAATCTCCTGTTCAACCTTGTCAGAAGTACCATCCCAGCTACGGATTATCCACAATTCACAGCTTCCTGGATCATATCATCCTCATCTCCCCAAGCCTCATCATCATACCGGCCATCATCTTCTTCTTCTGGCGCGCTGGCTCCACCGAAGCGTGACTCAAAAGTGAACGCTGGATTGGGCGCTGCAGCCACGTTTTCCTGCTGCTCTTCATCTGCTAGGTCCTGTCCGATCTTGAGAATCTTTCTGGACGACCTCGAATCCACATAGCCGCTGCCATCATCCTCGGGCCTTGCCTTTCTCTTCTTTGAACGATGTCGCAGCGGACCAGTAGCTGTGAGATCTTCTTCCAGCGGTGCATGCCGTCGCGCAGACCTAGATCTGGATGTTGGCGCCATTGTGTCGCTTGGGAGAAATTTGCAGCCAGATTCCAAAAGTGCGGAAGAGCACTATCTTATCTTAGCGTGGATGGCTCTCAACCTAAACGCAAATTACTGTGGACCCTAGTGATTTTTGTTGCGCTGGGAATCTTTCCTATGATTTCGAACTGTAAAGCACGAGTCATTTTCTCTATTGTCGTGTGAATGCAATTGATTCCATCAAAGTACTCGTTCTCCCCATGTATTCAACTCCCTTCACTTCCTTTCTTATTCACAGCAGCGGAAATTTATCCACGAGCATGACCCGCTATTTGAATCCGTCAGATTTCCCAAACTCCCTATCTTGTTCCCGAATATCAGCTACTGACGCTTTGTACTTTTCTCCTCCACCAGCGGCGTAAGACTTATGTTCCAAAATGTTTCCTTATCGCAAAGGTGAAGAGTCTTTATATTGGCATTGGTGTCTGGTTTCCCCGCGACGATTTCTCTCCAGAGCTTTTCGAGGACGATAGGTACCAGTTTGTTTGGTACAAGTTCCAGAACGACCAGTACACCTTCAATGAGCACCTCATCACAGAACAGGCAGAGTGTGACAAAATCTTATAAGCAATCCCCGGATATCTTCTTCCAATAGCCCAGGAAACGTTTTCGCAGGAACAGCTGTATCTCGTCAGGTCTTACTTCGAGGAAGGACAAAACGGGTCCATCGGATATCCAGCAATTTGCAAATACAGGTTAATCTGGACGGACAGTTGCAACGATATCTGTCGGGATACAATTCCAGCGTGCTTGAGATACTAGCAGTCTTCAACGCACTTGGAGGAATCCTTGAGTGCAAGACAATCTCACTGTACACCTGGGCTTACAATAGCCTGCCAGCCGATCTCCAGTATGACTGCCAGGCCCAGCGTGACCATGAATTACGCGCTCGGTTCCGTCAATACTTGGACCTGCCGGCTCGCCTTCATGATATACACACAATGTGCCTTGATAAGAACGTACCACCCATTCTCACTCACCGAAGTGGACCGGTCGATGAATCTTGGAAGACTGCACCGCTGTCTGAGGAGGATCTCCCCAAAATCCACAAGGTACCGCCGCCATGCAGCCGATGATGCTCGTGCTGGAAATTAGACTGTTGGCTTCTTGACAACTGATGGGAGGGAGCATAATGATAGGTTAGCGATAGGGTCAGATCAATGCAGGATTGGGTTTTTCCTTGAATCCGTGGTGGATTCATGGACTCATTACGATCGACGTGGTTCTGCCGTGACTCTTTCGCCATAAGCAAGCTCATACAGATAGACGGTACTCATACTGTTGTACTACTACACCAACTCCATGACTCAAATCTCCAAGTATCACATCCATAGCTCTGAACAAGCACCTCTGCTTTCCATATATCCATAGGACTGCAACCCTTTTCCTAGCGCCCGAGAGTCTGCCCTTCATTGTCGCTGTTGCTGAGGTAGTAGATAGATGGCGAGCATGGTATCCAAACGCCGCACTAACCTGGTAGGCTGCCAGGAAGTCGTCTCACAGTGACCAATTTGGTAGATTATTAGAGGGGCGGGAAGATGAGCTGTCCGTCAGGAGCAAGACTTTCGGCCGCTTGTCAATGCGCTTGTTCGGTCATTCAACAGGCCAAGGAGCATCACAATCATTGATTAGTACTACCATAGCTACCAACGCATGAAGAATGATGCAGGCCAAGCTGTCTGCTAAAGCGAAAACCTGCAGTGAAATCTGGAGGATGAGATTTCTAGGGATAGAGATACATGCACCGGGAGGTTCGGCCCACAACCGCCACATCCGGCGGACTCTGTTGCGCGCCAATCACATGCAGCTCTGGCCAAGGTCCGAGGGACCTCACTCCATCAACAATTCACCATTAGGTAGGCATAACCATTGGAAGCTGCTTATGATCTCGCCCCATCCCCCAGCCTGTGTCAACTCTCCTAATGTACTCTATCTTACCACCCATGGTTTCGAAAGCGTCATCGCTGTCGATTGCTGGCAGAGCTGATTTGAGCTTGGGCCACACATGGCATCTTCGACCCATCCTGATGGGCAATAGACTCGCTATCCCAGATGGTAGATCGGCAAGCCTGGAGCAGCGAGTTGAGCTAGGTGGCTTATGACTTGAGGGACGACTCCATTCGATTGTGAAGGGTAGGCGAATCATCACCAATTTCTAGGACGGGAAAGGTGTCTCTGAAAATTATCCTGGCCGCCTATCCTTCCAAACGTTACTCTCACTTTGGTCTTTCCTTTCCTCTCGCGCAAGTTGATGTTATGTCTCCTTGTGTCGTCTCCTCTCATTGTCCTATCAAAAGAGCCCTCGTACCAGGCCATACTTTGCATTGATGGCCTATCAAGCACAGATGTAGCGTTGCTGATTCTCCTCCCAAGCTGGTCTGTGGATGGACATATTTCCGCGAAGAAGTCTTGGAGACTGTTCTCATCTTTCGTATGGATTGTCTGATATGTAGAGGTGGTTGGAATCCCAGAAGCGTGAAGTGTTCCCAACTTTCTCCATGCTTTGTTTGAATTCCTGAAAGCCACGTCAGGCGACTACGCTTCGATTCTGAAGCTTTCCCCGGTCTCGGGCGGATCAATGAGGACGGTGTAGTAAGCCTCATGCAGCGAGCTTTGGTAGATGTCCCAACCTGTATTTAGTGCGAGCTATAGTCCACAACATCTTGTTCTCCAACGAAGATGTGCAAAGCGGTGCCTATTGCCGATTTTCTAGCTGTCGCTCCTTAGAGCGATTCTCGCATGGTCTATAAATTTGGCAGGTGCATCCACGCATTGTTCTGCAGATAGTTGAGGCAGGCGAGACGCTCATCCAACATCTCAACTACATTGTTTATCCTTTGCTTGTCCTCAATCATGCTCCACCACCTGCTACTCTTTACGCCGTGACCCTCCACTACCTTGGCCACCAGTGCAATCTCGCAGGCTCGCTGCTGTGCAAGAGTATCAAAGGGTATGAAAGCTTGGCAAAATCGCAGGGGCCGGCATCGGCCCTCTTCAATTTCAGATTTTTACGTCTACACAGGGTGCCGGGAGAGGACGCTGTTGTCGATAATGATGGCTATAGACTACATTAGAGGCCGTCGAAGCCCGCGACCCGTCATACCTACACCATCAGTCCCGAGTAGTGCTGCTGCTGGCAGTTCTCTGGAGTTCTGGTGCTCTGCCCTTCGATCTTGGCAATGAGGACAAGAGTGGTCGACTTTAGTGTGAGATGATTTGAGCAGGTTCTCAGATATAAAAGAGTGGGTTTTCCCCCCAGAAATTTTTTTCTCTTTTCTTTTTCTCTCCATCGAACGATTTTTGCCACATCACTCACAATCACATCACTCACACAATGCCTTCAACACGCACTTATCATTCGATCTCGCGCTCTCTCAACAATGCGTCACTAGCCATGCCTTCCCTCGCTAGAGCCTCTCGCATTCCTACCCCTCAATGTGCTTCGGTAGCCCGAATTCCCATCGCTACCGCCCGCAGCATACCTCGCCCTGTCAATTCGCTTTCGGTAGCCCGCAAATACATCCCTACCGTCCAGCGTGCCCGCCCATCGACAACTGTTGCTTCCATGGCTTCCTCTTTCGCCGCCATGTCCATCAGCAAGCCCGCCAATCAGGCCATCGCATCACCCAGTGCGCCCAAGCCTACGTCGTCTCTTCCTAGTGTCGCCGTCCCTTGCAGCAAGCTTGCCTCTGACCGTATCCAAGCTCGCCGACAACGGATCGTCGCCAACCTACAGGCCTCAAGGAAGAGACCTACCGCTCCGGCATCGATCCCTAAATCCTCGTCAATGCCGTCCCGAGCAGTGCCGTCAGCCGTCACCACTCCGGCATCGATCCCTCAATCCTCGTCGATGCCGTCCCGAGCAGTGCCGCCAGCCGTCACCACTCCGGCGTCGATCCCTCAATCCTCGTCGATGCCGTCTCGAGCAGTGCCGCTAGCCGTCATCACTCCGGTATCGATACTCAAATCCTCTTCGAAACCGTCTCGAGTCATTCCAGCACCTCCGGTCAACGCCCTAGCATCAACTCTCACATCCTCGTGGATGCCGTCACGCTCTCGCAAACCCCGTGGCACGAAGCCCTACTGCGAGGGTCGACCTGGGTTCCTGGACGAAGACGGCAACCGGCCTCAGGGAGACTACCGGCCACTTTTCTACTTCGGCCTCAGGTGTAAATGCCACCCTACAGAAGGGGACATTCCAGCCCAACACAAGATAGGTCCCCGCCTGTGGAAGACCACACCAGCCGAAGCAGACGTTGACCCAAAAAGACCAAGGATCGTTCGGTTTGCGGACAATCTTGTCCAGTCGACCAGAACGTTCCGACCTTGGTACAACAAAACTTGGCCGTCCCCTGAGCAATCCTCGGACGATACAACCGAAGCAGAAGACGACGCCGCCATCAGCGCCATGGACACTCCGCCAGCGGTAGAAGTCAACCCCAATCTTCTACCTGGCAGCTCAGACTTCCAGAGCACCTGGCAGACGCTGATGGACGAAGGATTTCCTGATGACGACGAACACTTCTCCTAGGCCACCAGCAACTCACACTCACTTCCTTCGTTGCCGTCATCAGATCCTCGTCTGCAGCTCGTTGGTCGACCGTGCCGTTCCAGATCGCCATCAATGCCTTGTTTCAGTGGTAGGGCGCCAGACAGCCACTGCCTACAGCACCTCCCCTTTTCCCATCCCCTCCCCTTCACTCGGTCGCCGCCACAACTAACTGGTACGCTGTCTGGCGTTCCCCTCGTGGTACCTAGAAGACTGAGACAAGGCAACACCATGACTATACACCTGCTATTCATATGCACTCACTTTGTAAGTCATGAGATCCTCTCTTCCTTTATCCTACTGATCATGTTGACATTTGTCCAAAAGTCTCGGAGACCATGCTACCTCCTCATACTCGGCTCGACAACTCTATACCGTGGCGCTCAGATCGTTACTCTGGTGATGCCAATACGATATCTACAGCCGATTCCCTTCCTCGACACCCGACTTGACAACTCTCGATGCTTCAGCAACCCGAGTCGGCGCCATACCTCATCCACCTCTTCCTTTTTGTGTCAATGCCGTCATGGACTGGGCATCCATCGGTTGGGTTCTTACAAAAGGAGAGGATCCTCGACATTCACCTTTTACATCTTCGAATCTCACATCACCTTTCATCTTCTGCAAGGGCAAAGCCAAGAGGTTGGGCACCTCTTCGGCTGCGTCGGACCAGAGATGAGAGCTTCTCGTCACATCATTACTTCGACTCGAGCAATATACCAACACCAATCAGCAATTCTTCATCTACTCTGTCGGAACTACGACTTCCGGACCAAAAAAACCAAAAAAACCAAGAAAAAATTGAAAAAATGAGTGACGACGAGGCAAAGGGATTGCGGTCAGAATTGGGCACTCTGGCTGTTCCCCTCACGCTGAATCCGAACAATAAAAAACAATCACCAAAAAAATTGAAAAAATGAGTGACGACGAGGCAAAGGGATTGTGGTCAGAATTGAGCACTCTGGCTGTTCTCCTCGCGCTGAATCCGAGCAATAAAAAACAATCACCAAAAAAGCAGTACAGGACAAGTGGTCGCATTTAGCACATCTACTCTCACAACACCTAGTCCACTCTCAATGATTCACCATGCTGCTGACATTTCTCTAGGTACTCACATTTAGGTCCTGATGTTCGATACACTGCAGATCCCAGGCTAAGTCTCCCCTTCTCCACGTCTTTCGAATGTTGGCTGACCATGTCCCTAGTGTGCTCGCCGTCAAAGGTAAGTCATCTCCCTTCCTTCATCTTTGCCATCTACATTCGCGATCTACCCTCCACGAGAGAGCTGGCCTTGTCGTGGCGTGGAGGCTTCCCAACTCTTCGGAGGACGGGACCTAACAAGCTCATCTCCTTTGTCACATCTTGATTTCCTTGGGAGGTGATCCTTATTTTGGGCATAGACTGTGTATTCGAACGGTGGCTTTGATGTGTTTGGGGAACTTGCTGTCCGAAAGGTGCTGAGCTTCAAAGTTTGTATAGATAGATTACAACACAATGAACTCAATATTACTTCCTGACGTCAATGTTTGCTCATGCTCAGACTTGAATGTGACCATTTCTTCTTTATTTGGCAAAGGCTTCTAGATATAGTGGCCTACTCTTTCCATGGCGACAGAGTAGAAGAACACCGGCGGTCATGATCAAGGGGTCGATGAATCTTAAGCCATGGAAGAGAGAGTGACTACAGAAGTATACAGGCCCTCGATCCATGCTCCGGACGTAGAGCCAGGCTAGGTTCCAGAAAAAGTTACAGTCGAAAGGGGTTGGTTGAATCCTCAAAATTGTGACAAAATTAACATCAACGAGGAGGATTTTGGGCTGTTTAACGTGTTTTCCCCTGGAACAGGTTGATCACGGATACCACGTTGTCCCGGGTTGATGCCAAAATATGACATGAGATTGGAGCACTCTTTCAAATGCTGCAAAGTGCTCTGCTAGCGCGGCTGATCTACTTGTAGCAGCGGGAAAAAGACGGGCCGAGACATCGAAAGTCGCGTTCGTGAATGGTGAATGGTGAATCGTGAAGCATCTTGTTCTAACAACAGGCTTTATAATGCCATGATATGACTTAAGGAAGACGATCCCCTAGGCCCTCATAACCAAAAGACTGCCCGCTAAGCTGTGCACCCAAGACCCAAGGCACAATGGCCGAAGCCCAACAGCCTCCCCCAGTCACAGCTCCCACGGCCCTGCCCACAGCACGCCTTGAAGACGAGCATCTTCCGGCAGTATCGTCTCCTCTCAATCCTGATGCCGCTGCTTCTCGCACCCGGAGAGAAAAGAAGGCAACATTCAAGGCTCGTGGAGACGATGCGGACAGCAAAGGAACCACGAAAAAGCGCAAAAGATCAACTGAGCCCACGCACATCTCTCCAATGCGATACAAACTGCCTCTGCCAAAGGCAGCTGACTATGAACCCCCCAAAGCGCCAACTTTCTCACCTATTCCTGGTAGAGAGGAGTGGATGGAATCGTCAGAGCAGTAGGCTACGCTGCGTCCCTGGCTTTTCGAACTAGGCACTGATCGATACAGTGTCTACAATAGGAAGTCTTTTAGATACACGAAAGCAATCTCTGACCCTTCCTTTCCCGCCCTTCAATACCATCGACAGACAGAGACGGCCTCTGGCTCAAGCTTCGAGCCCGAGGATACATCGCCACACGTCTTCTTCTCGTCGCCCAACTGCACTGCCGTCACCACCCAGAAAGGCTTCCGCATGGCCCGAGCAACCACTGGTGCCAGGGAAGGCAGGTACTATTGGGAAGCTAAGATTTTGAGCGGTATAAGAGCTGATCCAATGGATGGAGAACCGCGAGGTCATGTTAGAATTGGTTTCGCACGCAGAGAGGCGCAGCTTGACGGCCAGTATCTCACAGACAGCATCTCGAATTTAGAACTAACCAAAAGCAGGGCCAGTTGGGTTTGATGCGTACAGTTATGGTATAAGAGACGTTTCTGGGCAGAAAGTTCATATGTCAAGGCCGAAGGACTTCGCCAACGCCGACTTTGTTGAAGGGGATGTCATTGGGCTGGAGATCTGCCTGCCTTCACTCTCTTTACATCGAAAAGTGGCTGAAGGAACTTACAACAAAGCCGTGGACGTGTCTGATGACCTGGATCCTATCGCCGCCCACGAGTATCTCGATATTATTAGAGACCGTGTGCCCATACGCTTTAAAAACACGCTTTACTTCGGTAAGCAGATACTCCGCATGTTTATTCTGCAATGTGCTACAAACCTCAGCTTACGAGACATTTCCTCCAAGATATTTTTTTCTCGAGCACGTACGAAAGCTTGACTTTGGTTTTACAGAACCGATGCTGACTTCGAGATATATCAGAACAATATGAATACTCCTATCAGAAACCACTAGAAGATTTGATGAATCCAGCTCCAACCGCCTCAGTGGGTGCTGGAACCGCTGCAACTGATCCTCCGAATCCGAATCACCCCGAACCCTCCTTGCGTACTCTACCATTCTCAAGCATGAAGGTCTACAAAAATGGCGAGCTACTTGGCACTGTACGTACAATTCGGAGTAATCTCTTTCCAGTGAATACCACTCGTTGTGCTGCAAGACCAACCGCGGAAGCAGCACGTTCTTTGAGATTCCAATCTACCCTAGGCTTGTTCTTTACTCAAATAGTGAAGTAAAAGGCTACCGCTGACACTAGAAAGCCGTACACTGATTTGCTAGCATTCCTCCCTCCTTCGTCTAAGCCTCCAAATCAAGCTGGCGCAAGAGAGGGTTTCGACGATGGCAGTCTTGGCTACTATCCAGCGATCAGTGTCTTCCGAGGCGGTGCTGCAGAAGCCAATTTCGGGCCACGTTTCTGGTTCCCACCGCCTGACCTGGCTGTGGACGAAGATACCGAAATGGCAGATTCTTCAGATATCAAACTCAATCCAGTCACGAAAAAGCAAATTGCGGGCCAGCACAGCAATCTGCGACCTATGAGTGAACGCTTCAATGAGCAGATTGCAGAAGATATTGTCTATGATCTGGTAGATGAAGGTAAGGATGGCACCTCGAGCTACTGACCCTGGTTGCCGGCTTATTATACTTACCATCAAACAGTGGACTTCTGGTCACAATGTATAGGCGATACAGAGGCAGATATGAATGGATTTAGTGAGCAGGGAACAACGGCCTTGCTGGATCCGGAAGCGTCGGATGTGCTGGGGAGTGGGAGGGAGATCAAACAGCTCGTTCAGGACGAAGTCTGACGACCGTGAATGGCGCGAAACGAGCAGCTGTATATTATAGAAAGTAGTAGAACTCGTTTTCAGGTACAGTAAACGGATAAACTCGGATATAGTATGCAAACAAGGTGCAGCCATCCATCAAATGATGCTTATTCCGGAATCTATGAGAAGGCGCCATTATTGCTGAAAGACGCAACCGAGAACATTTCAGATGAGGTTCGGTTATCCAGGCAGTTCCGTTGGGTATTGAAGGATATGACCAGTCATAGATGACATTCGATGCTTTAATATCTTCCAGATACTGTAGTGACGGGAAGCAATTGAAAGTAGAGCGGCTTAAATGGAGGGAGTCAAGCCGTTACAAAAGCCAATTGATTTTTTTCAAAATCCTCAACCCCTTTTCTGTTGTGAGCGGAAGAGCAAGAGAATGTGAGAATGCCGCTATGTTGGTTTTCTAACCTCAAGGCTTTCGATTTCATTGCACACACTCATCCAACTTAGACGTCCCTTGATTCGTTGTTCCAAAAGGCCAAGAAGCCGGTAGCTGAGGTCAAGACTAGGAGCGTCTGCAAGGAGTGAAGGGTATCATCGGCGTATTAACGCCCCGTGTGAACGCCTAAAACACCTGGGGAGCATCTACGGGCCCAATCGAGACAGCCAATGGATCCTCCTGCCGCTGAAAATGCTTCCCAACTCCAGTATCTAATGTCCGAAACTTTCCTCTATCCAGAACTCTCCTCAAGGGCCCTGGTTAAATTTGCTTGTTGCAGACGC